ATGATTTCAATGGGATTGCTTTGAGTTTTTCTCCATTTATTTTGATGTTGGCCGTTGGATTACTGTATATTGCCTTTATTATGTTTAGGTATGCTCCCTGTATCCCTATTCCCTCCAACACCTTTATCATGAAGGGGTGTTGAATTTTGTCAAAGGCTTTTTGAACATCTAGTGAGATGATCATGTAGTTTTGCTTTTTCAGTTTGTTCATATTGTATATTGATGAATTTTCATATGTTGAACCATCCCTGCATCTCTGAGATGAATCCTACTTGGTCATGGTGGATGAATTTTTCTGATGTGTTCTTGAGTTCGGTTTGCCAGTATTTTATTGAGTATTTTTGCATCTATGCACATGAGAGAAATTGGTCTATAATTCACTTTCTTAGTTGTGTCTTTGTGTGGTTTGAGTGTCAGGGTAATTGTAGCCTCAAAAAAAAAAAAAAAAAAAAAAAAAAAAAAGAATTTGGCAATATACCTTCTGTTACTTTTGTGTGAAATAATTTGAGGAGTATTGGTATTAGATCTTTGATTATCTGGTAGAATTCTGCACTGAATACATCTGGGCCTTGGCTTTTTTTTTTTGGTTGGTAGACTGTTGATAACTGTTTCTATTTCATTAGGAGTTATAGGTGAATTGAAGTTGATTATCTGTCCTTGACTTAATTTTGGTATGTGGTGCTTATCTAGAAACTTGCCCATCTCCTTAAAGTTTTCCAATTCTGTGGAGTACAGGTTTTTGAAGTATGACCTGATTATTCTGTGGATTCCTCAGTGTCTGTTATGTCCCCCTTTTCATTTCTGATTTTGCTCATTAGAATATTCTCTCTCTGTCTTTTGGTTAGCTTAGATAAAGGTTTATCTATTTTGTTACATTGATTCTTTGCATTATTTTTGTTGTTTCTATTTTATTGATGTCAGTCCTCAATTTGACTACTTTTTACAGTCTACTCCTTCTGGGTGAGTTCCTTCTTTTTGTTCTAGTGCTTTCAGCTGTTCTGTTAATTCATTAGCGTGTAACTTTTCCAGCTTCTTTATGTAGGCATTTAGTGCTGGGAACTTTCCTTTTAGCACTGCTTTCATTCTGTCCCATACGTTTGGGTATGCTGTGTCATTATTTTCATTAAAGTTTAGGAAGTCTTTTATTTCTTTATTTTTTTCCTTGACCTATTGGTGATTCAGTTCAGCATTGTTCAATTTCCATGTGTTTATGGACTTTCTGAAATTAATGTTGCTGTTGAATTCTAACTTTAAGCTGTGGCAGCCTGATAGGGCATAAGGGTTTATTCCATTTTTTTTTTTTTTTTTATCTATTGAGGTTTGCTTTGTTACTGAGTATGTGGTCGATTTTTGAGAAGGTTCTAAGAGGTGTTAAAAAGAAAGTATATCCTTTTGGGTCTGGGTGGAATGTTCTATAGACGTCTATTAAGTCCATTTGAGGCATAACCTCTGTTAGTTTCCTTATTTCTCTGTTAAGCTTCTGTCTGGCAGATCTGTCCAGTGGTAAGAGTGGGTGTCGAACTCTTCCACTATTAGTGTTTGGGTTTGATTTGAGATTTAATTTTCAGTAATGTTTCTTTTTACAAATGCAGGAGCATAGATGTTCAGAACTGAGATTTCCTCTTGATGGATTTTTCCTGTGATGACTATGAAATGCCCTTTAAAAAAAATCTTTTTTGGTTGATTTTAGTTTGAAGTCTATTTTGTTAGATATTAGGATAGCTACACCAGCTTGTTTCTTAGTTCGTCCATTTGATTGGAAAATTATTTTCCCAACCCTTTACTCTGAGATAATGTCTGTCTGTGAGGTTGAGGTGTGTTTCTTGTATACAGCAGAAGGATGGATTCTGTTTTCACATCCAGTCTGTTAACCTGTGTCTTTTTATAGGTGAATTGAGACCATTTATATTAATGATATTAATGGCCAGTATTTGCTAGTTCCTGTAATTTTTGTTTTTGTTGTAGGTGATGCCATTTTGTGTTCAGTTCTTTGGGGTTTGCTGCTGTAAGCTCATCTATTTACTGTGTTCTTGTGGATGTAGATGATTTCCTTGGGTTGATGTTTTCCTTCTAGTTCTTTCTGTAAGGCTGGATTTGTGGATAGGTATAGGTCTTAAGTTTGTATGTTCTTAATTTTCCTTTTCCTAAAGCATACTTGATATTTACTCTTTGTTTATAGTTGTTTCAAGCCTAAATCTTTTCTTTAGACTAAAAGGGGAATTGTGAGATATTCACCCTGCACACCTATTGCACTGACCATGCCCATTGAGGTGTGAGGACAGGTGCAGGCGTGACCTGTCAGAACTAGGTCTGGGGTCTTGGACCCCAGACCCCAGCTCTCTCTCTTGCTTCCTGGTCAGAGACAGAGAGCATCTGGAGGTATCCTTGGGACAGGAACCTGCTGGTGGTCATCTGTTTCTGGTGTAAGTGATTTCTCCCCAAATAAACATCCATCAGCCTGTCGTTTTCCCAGATTCTTATTTATCCACACTATAGATAGGTATTGTTTAAATTTGGTTAAATTTGGAATATTTTGTTTTATCTATCTGTGGTTATTGAAAGCTTTGCTGGGTAAAGTAGTCTGGGCTGGCATCCGTGGTCCTTTAATGTCTGCATAACCTCTGACTGGGACCTTCTGGATTTCATTGTTTCCATTGAGAATATTGAGTTTCCATTGAGTATAATTCTGATAGGTCTGCCGTTATATGTTACCTGGCCTTTCTCCTTTGCAGCTCTTAATATTCTTTATTTTGTATATTTATTGTTTTAATTATTATGTGTTAAGGGAACTTCTTATTTTTTGTTCCAGTCTATTTGGTATTCTGTAAGCCTTTTGTATTTTCTTTTTTTTTTCCTTTTTTATTTATTTATTTTTATTTAATTTTATATAACAAAGTCCAATTAAATGAAAACAAACATTTATACACAATATTTGGGAATTTGGGCGTCGTTCTTTCCAAACTACTTCCTGCTGGTAAGGGGCGCTGTCTTGGGGGATTCGAAGAAGATTCAGATATCCTAGCTGTAGTCTGCAGGGCTGTTTTGTCCAGCTGTTTGGAATGTAGGATCAGCTTGTACTCTGTTTCAGGCGGTCTGGCGTGATCAAACCACATTAGTCTGCAAGGAATCCACATCTTTTCATTTTCTGTGGAAACAAAAATAGAAATCCTTTTCCCCAGTAACTTGTTCTTCAACTTAAATTTTGGAGTCAAAGCGTTTTTTTTTTTTTAATTTCTTATTTTACATGTCGATCCCAGTTCCCTCTCCCTCCCTCCCTCCCTCCCTCCCTCCCCTCCAGCCCTCCCTCCCTCCTTCACTCCCTTTTGCCCTCTCTGCCCTCTCCCATGCACTCTAACCACCCTCTCCTCCCAACCCCCCACCACAATACCATATGTAGGGGAATGCCATCCAGTTGGGGTCATGTAGATCTGACAGGTCCTATGAAGTAGGGACTAGGGCATCTCTCCTATCTCTAGAATAAGGCAGTTATCCCTCCATGGGGGATATGTTTGCAAAGTCCTTTTGTGCACCAGGGATACATCCTGGCTCCACTGTCTGAGGTCTCTTAGACTAAGCCTTTTGTATTTTCATAGGCATATCTTTCTTTAGGTTGGGAATGTTTTCATCTATGATTTTGTTGAATATACTTCCCGTGCCTTTGAGCTGGGCTTCTTCTTCTTATCTATCCATATTATTAAGTCCTGTCTTTTCATGGTGCCCCAGAATTCCTGCATGCTTTGTGTTAAGGATTTGTTGGATTTAAAATTTTCTTTCACCGATGAATTTATTTCCTCCAGGTTATCTTCAATGCCTGAAGTTCTTTTATCTCTTGTATTCTGTTGTTTATGCTTACATTTGTGGTTCCTGATCATTTACCCAGATTTTCCATTTCCAGAATTCTCTCACTTTATGTTTTCTTTATTGCCTTTATTTCAGATTTCAGGTCTTGAATAATTTCCTTCACTTGTTTGTGTTTTCTTGGTTTTTTGAAGAGATTTGTTGATATCTTCCAATTTTTTTCTTCATTTCTTTAAGGGCCTCAACTATTTTTTATTTTTTAGATTGTTTTCTTCTACTTCATCTGTGTTGTGGATGTTCAGATCTTGCTGTTGTAGCACCACTAGTTTCTAGTGGTGCTGTACTGCTCTTTATATTCTTGAGTGTGTCCTTACCTTATTGTCTATGCATCTCTTCCTCTAATTGGTACAGGTGGGGCTTGTGCTTCAAGGATTCCCTCTTTCGCCAATAGGCATGGTTGAGGGCTGTGGCTCCGTTAATTGCTCCTGCAGGCACAAGTAGAACAGAGCTTCTGGTGGAAGTGGGCCCAATGCTGAGGTGGTCACTCCTTGAGGTGCAGGCGGGGCTACAGCGATGGTGGAAGCTCCTCCTGTTGGAGGTGTAGACGAGGATGAGTTGATGTAGTAATGGGGTAACTGCCAGCGAAAAATGCTGGCTGGCACACAGGTGCTCTTTCCCAGAGGAACTTGTTAAAATAATTTCTGGAAGCTACTGCTGGAAAGTGCTGCTGTTGCTTCACAGGGTGATCACTCCTCACTCCTGGGGCTGAGGCTTCAGCCTCCCTCTGACACTGCTCCCGGTTCTGAGGCTCCTGGCTTCCTTGGCACTGCTACAGGCCTGAAGCTTGGGCCGTCCTTCTGATGCTGCTTTCAAACTGGGATTCTGGCCTTTCACTGATGCTGCTCTGGGCCCGAAGATCTGGCTGCCCTCTGACAATGCTGCTCTGGGTGTGAAGCTTGGGCCTTCCTCTGACGCCTCTTCCGGGCTGAGATTCGGACCTCTCAATTTTTCTGAGCTTACATGTTCAAATTAGAGATGATTTCTATTCTGGATGATGGTCAAAGGTTTTTCTGGCGGGTGGTAGGCTTGGAACCTTGTGTGTATTTCACTGAAGACACTTTGGTACAACCCTTTTAAACACCAGGGAAACCGATTCCTGTAAGAGCTCTTTCACCTGTGGTATTTATTCTTTGTGTCTGAAGTTTGTCTAGGTTCCAAACTGCAACTGATGACAGCAAAGTCAGTAGCCTGGTATTTTTAAAAGAGCTACAGGACCTGGCTGAGGACATTTTTGAAACAATGCACAAGGCAAAGAGCTTACAAAACCTCTGGCTGAAAAGGTCAGACACTCCAGGTAAGATCCTGAAAAGGTAACCTTGTTTTCTTGGACACAGTGAGAACCCTTTATGCTATATGCTTCTCAAGGGGTTAGGAGAAGGTGCGCTCCCTGCTGAGTGAGGCCAGCACTGCTTGCTGTTATGGAGGGTGGGATTGGATATTCCTCCCTGGGAGGCATGAGGGGTACAAAGGAGGAGTTAGTCCGCCCTCCCATAGATTGAGGCCCACTCAGCTTAATCACTTTTTCTAAGGCCATCCACTTATCCCATGTTGTTTTCCATATTTAAGAACTATCCACACCTTCTCTACACACATCCGTGACTCCCCCTTTTCACTGGATATATGACTTGGTTTTTGAGATAAAGTCTCAATAAAAGGCAGGTGCCCTTCTGCAACAGGTGAGGGAGTTCTGTTGGGTTCTGTCATGGGGTCAGGGTTCATGCCTGTAAACTCAGCATTTGGGGACCGTGGCAGGACAATATTGAGTTCAAGGCCAGCCTGGGCTATCTTGTCTCAATAAACAATACCATTTATTTTTTTGGGGGGGTGGAGTGCAGTTTTTTAAAGATATGATTGAAAGAACTAATTATCTTCAGATGGATATATCTATTTTCAGTTTATAATTCTCTGAGCTATTTCCCATAGCATATGTTATTTAAAAATCTGAAAAACAATACTTTTACTTTTCATTCTCATCATATCTGAAGGGTTTACTTGTTTGTTTTCTGAGGAAGGGTCTTACTTTGTTGCCCTGGATGACCTGGAACTTACTATGTAAAACAGACAGGTTCTGAATTGAGCAACACTTCTGCCTCTGTTTCCTGAGTGTTGGGATTGCGGATGTTGTTGTGGGATATTAGTTAAAGATATGTTACATTTATTTATGCTGTGGAATATTTGTTTAATGGTGCAAAATGTGTTGCATTCTTTTATGTTGCATTTGTTTAACTCTGTGAAGCTGTGTTACTTTGCTTCTCTAAAACATCTGGTTGGTCTAATAAAGAGCAGAACAGCCAATAGGTAGGCAGGAGAGAGAAATAGGTGGGGCTTAGAGGCAGAGAGAATAAATAGAAGAGAGAAGAGGGAGGGTCGAGAAAATGAGGAGAGAAGGATGCCAGGGGCCAGCCATCCAACAACACAGCCAGCCATGGAGTAAGAAGGAGGGAAAGAGATGTAGAATAAAGAAAGATAAAAGCACAGAGGCAAAAAGTAGATGGGATAATTTAAGTTAAGAAAAGCGGGCTAAAAATAAGCTAAGACTAGGAATTCATAAGTAAGAATAAGTTTTCGTGTATTTATTTGGGAGCTGGGTGGCAGGCCCCAAATGAGCATAGAATAAAAACAACCAAATACAGATTGTGCCAACATAACCAGCTTGTTCTTCTTTATTTCTATTCACTTTTTTTCATTTTGTGTCAAGTACTAACAATGCCAGGTGTAATTAGAGGTTGGCAAAAATACTGGACCAAGTATCACACTTTATTTATTATTTGTTCTCTAGGAAATTATGTCAATGAGATTTGGGATATGGCAACAACAGTTGTCTTCATATTTCTTCTCCTATTTGTTCACCTTTGTATTTTGAGCCTGGCTGTTTCATTTCATTTATAGAGTGAAGCAGGCATTCTGGGGTCTGACCTTCTTGTAACGAGTACTAAAACCCTTTTTTAACCTTTTGTTAAATTTTAAGTGTAAGTTCTTATTAGCCACGTTGGGCGCCATTTGTAACGAGTACGGGTTTTTCTGCCTGCCGCCCATTCTTGTCCTGCTGCCGTGCCAGCCCCAAATAATACACAGAGACTCTGTATTTGGTACAATACTGTTGGCCCTGTTACTTGTTTCTTATCGGCTAGCTCTGTCTTTAATTATTAACCCATTTCTGCTGATCTATGTATTTTCACATGGCCTTCTCTTACCGGGGAGGCGGCTGGCGTCCAGCTCTCTCCAGACTCTCCATCTTCATTCCTCCTTACTACTTCCTCTTTCCTCCTTGTCTCCTAGTCCCTCCTATCTTCCTTTCCTATTGGCCAACAGTGCTTTATTATTAACCAGTATGAGAAACATATATACATAATGGTATCTCCCATCACCTTCTGATCTGTTAAATGTGTTTTATTGTAGGTTCCTCTTATGGCTCCAGTTTTTTAACAGTGAGTATCCCCAGCAACATTGGAAACACAGACACATGATTCACTGTCCTTTTTTAGCTGTGTTTATATTTCCAAGGACTCTATTAATCATTTGCTTTTTTCATAACAATTGTGTAGGGTGGAATTCAACAGAAATAAATTTGCATGAGATATAGATTGAAAGATAGTTTTTAATTTCTTAAGTCAGAGCTCTGGGTCTTTGAGGAGGACAGGGTGGGAGCAGAGACTGTGGGTGGTAGGTGGTAACCAGGTTGCTTTGGGGGGATTTAAGTCAACATGAATTCAAAATTGGTGAGATTTGTGTTTGGCATATTACTTTTGACTTGCTTCAAATGCAGGGCTTTCAGTTAAGGTCAAGGTTGTAATCATCTGTACAGGTACCAGGTTGTCACAGCTAGGGTGGAGAGGCCATACTTTGTTTCTGGTGAGTAGGGATGGACACGCTGCTAAATATATTTCAAAGATAGCCTCAAACAGAGACTCACTCAGCCACCAGCAGAGTCAAGAATGTAGGGATGCAGGCAAAGGGTGAACTTGTCAACTGTCAACAGTGAGGTCCTTGCCTGCTCACCCTGCTACACCAGACACTCAAAGCCCAGGTGTTTTTGGTAGCACTGTGCTCTGACATTGTGTCTGAGCAATTCTCAGATGGCTCGAAAGCACCTCAAGGAAATGTGTACATAAAAAAAACCATTAGAAGAGCCAATGATAAGGTCCAACCATTGTTGTGGATGGAGCAGGGATGCCTGTGCTTCCACTAATTGACACCCAACTGTAACCAGACACCTACCCTAACTGCTACATTAGGGCAGAGGGATTGATTCACCAAGGTTAGTGCAAGCACTATTTTAATGATCAAACTAGCATTTTTAAGGGAATTATAAGTAGCTCTTATAAATGTCAGATGGCTTGTGACAACAAAAGCTTGATACAATCAATTTTGAAAAACAACTTGATGCCCTATGTGTCCTTTCTGACAATGTAATTTACTTTCACATATAAATAGGTTATTTTTAAAGAAGGATAATTTTAATATTCAAAACTTGGATAAGTAATTGTTGATGCCCTACTTTATACAGTCAACAATTAAAATGGAAAAAGATTATGATAACTGTGGAAAGTAGAAACTGCCATTATATCTGTTATCTGATTATTATGCACAGATGTAGAGGCAGTGTGTACGGTGAACTGTAGTATGGCCACAGCAAAGAATGATTTTGAACTCCCAATACTCCTGTCTCTTCAGCTTCCTAGTGCTGAGATTCCAAGTGTGGTCTACCATTTTTGGTTTTCTGCTTGATTTTCATTTAGAGTAGAATGTTCTGTGTGATAATCTCAGTAGATGAGTGAAACTTGAATTATATCTTTACAAGACTCTTTCTTTTCTTTTTTTTAAGCTGTGTGGTGAGCAGAAGAAAGGGGAGAGGAAAAATCATGAGATGGGCTGGGGCGTGTTAGTGTTCCATCAAGGCGGTGCTGTTAAGGAGGGTGTGATGACACAAACTGGGCGTCGAAGGAAATAGTCTGGGATAGAAGTATGGATGTGGAAGGTGTTGGGGAAGAAGTGATGGAGAGTGTAGATGGAGGTGAGGCAGAGAACGTATCTCAGAAGGTGTGTGAAGCTAGCGGTAGGGAGAGAAGGAAGCAGAGCTGTGTGGAAGCCCAGAAAAAGTGTTTTTAAGTACTGGTATGGTTCAAGTGCGAGCAGCAAGCAAGCAACAGCCTACTGGGGTGGGTGATATTGACAAGAAAAGTTCTAATAGAGGAGGGAAGGTGGGAGTGTGACTCTTGTCTCTTGGGAAAGAAAAGGAAGGGTCAGGAGACGGGTTATACAATTCCAGGAGGATGTTCAGAAAGCGGAAAGACCAGGTATAGAAGCTGTTTCTGAGCTCAGGTTCCACATCTCCTGCTGGCTGTTTGGTCTAGCCTCAGTTAAGACTGAGAGTCCAGCCTCCTGATCACAGCACCCCACACCAAGGTCATGCTGAGAGGCTTTCCGCTCTGCATCTGTTCTCCATAAGAAGCAAGCTCAACCAGATAGGATGGGGGCTGGCACCAGGAGCAGCCCACCCAGGGTACCACCCATCAGTGGTCCCTGTGACAGCAAACCTGCTCCCCGATGCTTCCTCCTTCTCGTTCTCCTCATTTCTTGCATCTTGTTTTCCCCCTTTTCACTTTTTCTGCTTTTTCTTCTTTCCTTATTTTTTTTAAATGACAGTTTACAGTTATTTTAAACTGAAGGGTTTTGTATTGTTTTTTAGTGATCATTTTAGACATACACATTTCTATTATTTTCAAAACTTTAAAAATAGAAGCAGCCCAACATTTTAAAAATCTTGTCTGTTGAACGTAGGTATGGGCTTCTTATACATCTGAAGCATATTGTTTGTCTATTTGCCTCTTCTTTGCTTGATCAATAAAATAAAGTGGGAAAACTTTTGTGAATTTTTTTCTATCAGATGGATCTCAATAAAACTGAAGATGTGATATCAAAATTGGAAAGCCTCCACCAGCAACCTCATATTTGGCATTTTCTACATTCACTTCCCAGCCTGCACACAACCAGCGCTCACTTGGAAGACAGCATAGATACCGTGGCACACTTTCTCCAGGCAGGCTTGAAGTAAGTGAAAAATAGCAACAAGTAATTATATGTATTATCTTCCATAATTTTAGTGGGGGAATGTTTCACTGAGTAATATTTTCATAAAAGATAACCTACTAATGTCCTGTTGAAACATCTGGAGCTTTTACACCCCCGTCTTTGTCCCTGCCTGAGTGTACATATCTTATCTAGGGGTAATGTTGCTGTTTAGCTCACATTCAACCATTAGAAAGCTAACATCTGATTAACATTTGTTTGGCTTGTGTTGTCTTTGAATGATCGTTTTTAATGACTGCATAATATTCCATTTTGATGAATTAGTATATAATGACTGCATAATATTCCATTTTGATGAATTAGTATATACCATACTATAACTATATTTAATAATAAAACAACCAGCTGTGTTGTTTCTAAGGTTTAGTCCATTAGAAAATTGGCATAATGTAATACTTTTAGCTAATAATGCCCAAGACACTGTGTAGCCTGATATGCTCTGTGTTTTCCTGACAACTTGGGACACAGTTGGTATGATGGCTCTGATTTCATGTTCCTAGGGGCACATTCTGGAGAAGAGCTTTCCATAGTATGCTTTATACTTTTTTTAAAGGCCAGATTATTAACATAACATAGCCCCTTGCGATGTCGACATGGCTGAGGGTTGTCAGGAGTGAATGTCTTAGCCCTCACATTGTGCAGCACAGCTCATCTGAGGATCAGAGCTATTTCAATTATAGAATAAGGGGTTTTAGGCAAGGGTTAGTTGTCACGAAGATGCACTGGATGGCAGAGGATGGATCACACCCTCACATTTCATTATCTTAGATATCTGGACACTGTTGGAGGGAGCTTGCCTCTGACCCAGTGCTCTAAGCACTGGACATACTAGCAGTGGCAAGTGTGAATAGTCAGATTGTTTAGAAGAAAGTGCAAATTGAAACTAGAAGGTATTGATGACAATGGCTGACAGTGACACCTTCTCTGTGGGTCTCATTTCTGTTTTGTATTGTTTCTATGATAGCAAGAAAATCTACTCCTTGTAGGCATTGCTTGCAAGTGATGTTGGGGTTCAGGGATTATTTCACAGACTTGGGATTCCCCTAACTGCACAAAGCTTCAGGGAGAGACTTTCCTTAGTGAGAAACCACATGGAGTTTACCTGTTTGGGACCATGATGTATGGTGGAGTCAGCCTCATGCTGCTAAAACACATGCAGTTCCACCCAAGCTGAAGAGTTTTCTGACCCATAACCATAATTATTTATAAAAACATTATCACTTTAGAAGAAGATCATATACTTATGTATAACATATACCTATGGACTCCCCTTGTCTAAAACTCCTTATTCTGTAAAACAGTTTGAGAATTGGCCTGTGACTTTTTCAGATCCCTGGATAGGGCACAGTGTAGTATGTTCTTCAGGTTAGACTGACTATGGGAACATGAGGCAGCCCAGCTGGCTGCTCATCCCTTTTTCAGTTGTGTACTCTGTCTGGCTTTGTTAGCTGCCAAGAATGGGGAGGCAGACCCAAGGCTGAGCATAAAACAGTAGCCATGACAGAGCACCCCAAAGCAGGGTGTCTATGAAAGCTACTTCGGGGTGTTTCAAGGCAGGAACTCACTTCTGCTTGTTCTCTTGCCCAAGGAATTAGGGTCACATTAAATAGAGAAGAATGCTGACATATTAATGGTCTGGCAACACTCCGGAACAGGGCTGGGGGGCTGGCCAATGGGGACTTAGTCAGTCTGGAGTTCATAGTCTTTGGCTGACTACCAACTCATTCTGCTTGCTTTTGTTTCTGTTCTAGTTCGTTAACATCTCTGGGGGATTTGGATTGGCTACCATTGCACCAGACGGTCTTCCACGTTTCTAGACATGCTCTGAATGTGACCATTTCCACCCTGAGGTTTCTGATGCAGCACAGAGTGGCTGTCAATGGTGAGGCTTCTTGGGGGCTGCACTGAGGTTGTTCCACACTGCAATGCTTTAGCAAGCACAGAGCCACGAGGATTTTCAAGGAAGTGACTAATGAACATCTTGACCTCAAATCCACTCTTTCTGCTAGTGAAAGACACACATGGGAATAAAATTTCCAAGTCAAAACTGACTGACTTTCTATCGCCACTGAAAATTCTGCAGTCATTGATAATAAGAATTGCACTTATATTTCAAACAACTGACTTTTGAATTCCTTAAGTTGTAAACTGTCTTTTAAGGTAAAACAAACCACTTGTTCTGAGATTTTTAACCTTTCATCTCTTTAAGCACCTATTGGGAGGAAATTCCAGTACTCTCCAGATGGAGTTGGAGGCAGTGGGAAAACAGTGAGGTTACTTAAAGAAGTCATGGCATTGTGTAGGTAATAAGTAGCACTCTTCAAGGAGGGGAATGGGATCCTTATTTTATTGACTCAGACGTTATTTTAATTTGCCATTGGATTTAATGTTTTACTTACAAGTTCATTCCCTTTGGCTTTTCCTTTGTTTAATTCTCTATGGGAATTGCAGTGGGAATTAGTACAGTGAGAGGACAGTGAAGTTAGAATTCATTTCTTTATTTCCTATTATCTGTTGTCTGTATGTCCATCTGATCAGTCATCTAGTCACCCATATATGACCTATTTGGCTGTTCATCTGCCCACCTATCTCTCTATTCATTTACATATCAGTTAATTCATTCCCCACCCACTCACCCCATCATTGCTAATCCACCAACTCCACCACCCATTTACCCCTCTATTTCATTTATGAGCCGAAAAGGAAATAGTTCTCTCTCCCTCTCTCGTTCTCTCTGTTTCATATGGAATTGCTCTGTGTGTGTGAGAGAGACTAAAGTTTGAATCTAGAGCCTTACACATCACTCAAGTACTCTACCACACTTATACATACTCAAACCTTTAAAACATTTAATTTTAATTGAGTGTATATGAGTATGAGCTTGCACAAATGAGTACAGTGAGTGGTTGAAGAGGTCAAAAGAGGGTGTCAGGGTCTCTAGAACTGGAGGTAGTTGTGATGCACTGGATATAGGTACTGGGAGTTTAACTAACTCAGGTCTTATACAATGGTAATATTCACTCTTAACCACTGAACCATCTCTTTAGCATCCCCTTCCCACTTATGCAAACTCATTGAGATTTGTATATTGGTCAAGTATATTGTTTGAGTGGCTAGGCTAATTTGAGTGTATGGTGTTTTATTTGTGAGTTTATTAAAATAAAGTGATTTATATTAAAAAGTGATTACATTAAAATTATTTTTATCTAGAGAAAGTATCTCATTAAGTTTCCAAGGCTGGTCTTGAACTTGTGATCCTCTAGACTTGGCTTCCAAAGTAGCTGAGATCATAGTTATCAGTAAGGACTTCCAATTGCACTCAGAGACATCATGTTTGTAAAGGAGCAAAAGAGGTCAATACAGAAAACAGACTACAGAGTGGGGGGATCTGGCATCTTCTCCAGGGAAATATTCAAAGGAGGCTTTTGAAGAATTTTAGGATTCATTAGCATGGCCAAGGAGCATTTCCAGGAAAGGGGACCAGTGTTTGACACACAGGGGCTTGCCAGGAGTGGAGAGCGCTCAATGGTATCAGGCAGTGTCAGGGATTGGCCCAGAAAGGGGGCCAGGTTCAGTCTCAATGGCCAATGGAGCAATAGATTCAGGGATATGCTGTAGAGAGTTGCCTGGAGGGGAGGCATGTGTGAGCAAGGTCTGGAGGCAGGCAAGTTCTGGGTCACTCCTCCCATTGGCCTTTACTTTGGTGGCTCAGTGTCCTGAGCTATACAATGTATTGGTTTCCCAGAGATTCCTGCAAACTCAGCCACCTTTCTCCTGCAGTATGGAAAAGGCTAACACAATATGGTTCTTCATGATACCCACCCCACTCCAAATTTCACTTGTTTTTTTGGATTTAACATAGTAGATCTCATGGAGAGGGTGTGTTTCTTTGATTTTTCTGTATGAAGGAAACTAGGCCATTAAAGATGAACTCATTTTTTTTTAATATCAATTTAGTTCTACCAGAAGCTATTTCTTAAGTCCAGAATAAAAGCCTGGAGGTGAGGTAGAGGTATATTAAATACCTCATTGAAAGGTTCTCTGTGACCTCAATTTTAACAAGCTCATCTGGAAGCAGAAATTTGTGCAAATCATCCAAATTATAACATTCAATTTAACTTACAATTGGAGATATAATTACTTTAAAGAATGTAATTAAAAGTAATTTTCTATCCATTTGAGTCAGAGTTAAGAAATACAATAATAATGTAGATTTCTAGAAACTACTAAAAGTTGTCTTCATTTCTCTTATCTCCTAGAAAAATGCTTTTCCTGGTGATCAGGCTACAGTGTGTGCAGGAAAGGGACTATGCTGCTGTCTCAGTCACATCATTGTCTCATGATCAGAACATGCATTTTATATTGCATCTTTTTCCTTGATGCTATAGGTAGCTGTTCAGCCACGAATTTCATAATCCATATTGCTCTTGGTTTTCAAAGAAAACTATCTTTTCCAAAGCATTTTGGTAGACTAATGACACTATCTTTTCTGGAATTCTACTTCTAATTCTAATAAGATATATCAGTAGGAATAGGTATTTACAACTCAGGCTTTGGAACCACATCATTTGGGTGTAAACACTAACTCTAGGAATGAGATTTTACATGACTTTGTCTGATTCTTCATTTCTCAAAAGAGGACATTTGCCATGTTGTTTTTGGTGACTTAAATCTCATGTGGGAAATGCTCGATTCTCAGTCTGGCATCTCATCAAGATTCTATTGAGGACTAATTTTAATCTCAGAAAACAATCTTATTTTGACCCATGGCATTATGCAAAGACAATATTATTGGAAACCTAAAGTCTTGGATTCCCAGGGTCTGCTTTCCTTTTACTTTTTCTCTCAAATGTCATGACTAGAGCTGGGGAGATATGTCACAGATTAAGAACACATACTGCTCTTGCAAAAAACTAAGTGTGGTTCTCAGTACCCATGTCAGGCAGCTCCCAACTGTCTGCAACTCCAGCTCCAGTGGAACCAACACCTCTGTTGACTACCATGGGCACCTGCACACATGTGAACATACTCCCCCACAAATAATTAAAACTAATAAAAATCCTTTAAAAAGTGTCATTGGTCTCATTTGTAACATTTCCTTTATGATATTAGCTTAAGGATCATATGAGATCATACATGTGGAGAAATCTTGCAGGTGGCTGGCACATGTAAGATACATGGCAGTTGGCTATAGAAACATGATCTGAAATGATCCATCTAGTTGCTACATTTGCTGAAAAAAGTTCCCCTAATGGCTTGTGTGCTGTTGTGTTTGCAGTTGCCAGGATATGCTCCATGGGGATTTCATCATGCTTTGGGAGTTTGGACTTAAATTTGGGCTGGCACTGCCAGATGGTGCCACCTGAGTATTTGAGCAGCATACAGGCTTTATGTCTTAATTATCCTAATTCGAATGAACTTTATACTGTGGCTTGAACTTTTCGAATAGGATTTTCATGTCTCTCTGTAGCATTTTATATTGCATCTTTTTCACTGATGTTACAGGTAGCTGCTTTTTAATATTTAACTACGATGAAGCCAGTGTAAAACTATTACTGCACATTAATTTTCATTTGGTTTATCTGATTAATCTCTTTGAGATAGCATTTTAGAGTAGATGTGAAATTACTGGGTTCATTGATCTGAGTTTTACACAGCTCTTGAAATATACTTTTCAGCTTTTTTGTTGGAACTGTGTCATCCTTTGTGTGGGGTTTTGAGACACCATACTTCTCATAGTATCTAGTACACGAGTTCTCCCTTCTGTATGGTTTTAGTTACTCACAACAAACTTCAGCCTAAAAATAGTAAGCAGATAATTTTAAAAACTAACAAAATAAGAAATTTATAAGTTTTAAAGATTTCTTTAAGTGTGTATGTGTATGAACATATTTATGTGGATATCCACAAAGGCTGGAAAAGGCCATTGCATTCCTCAGAACTGGAGTTACCAGCACCTGCAAGTCACCCAACATGAGTTCTGGGAGCTAAACTCCTGTTCTTTGCAGGAGCAGCAAGTACTCTAAATTTCTGAGTCATCTCTACAGCCTGGATCTACACATTTAAAAATGCATAACCTTCTGAATAATGAGATAAAATCTTACTCTGTCCTGTTCCATTTGCTTTGAGCAAGAATCACTCTTTTGTCCCATATTTACACTGTATACCCTGCCTGCACATTAGTCATTTAGCAGCCAACAGTACTTTTGGTTATCCTACCAGCTGTCATGGCATGGTAGGGCTTTTGTTTAATAACCTCTGTCTTACTTAATAGTACCCTCCATAGGCCAAGAGGAGTGTCTGTGGCAATTTTATTAAGGCATATTATTGTTCTGTTACTAGTTGCTTAAATGTCTTACTAAGCCTACTTGACAAATTAAAGTTTCTCATGGGTATATATGGGCAAATTTTTGCTATATATGAGGTTTGATTATGAATGTTTCAGGCATCTACTTGGGGCCTTGGGATGTGTACAGTGCACATGAAGGGTGATGACTGTATCAGCTTTGTTTATTCTTCTTTAAATTCATTTATTCTATGTGTGTGTGTGTGTGTGTGTACACATCTATGTGTAAACTTAAGTGAGTTTATGTGTATCATGTGCATTTAGGTGCCCATGGAGGTAAGATGTTATTAGAACCCATGGAACTGGAGTTACAGGTGGTTGTGGGCCAACATGTGGGTGCTCAGAACTGAGACTGTGTCCTCTGCAAGAGCAGCAAACGCCTTTAACATTTGAACCACCTCTCCAGCCAATGTTCTTATTTATTCACAAATGGTATTCAATGGTATTACATTTATTTTTCTATACACGTAGAGATAAAATATTTTCTCTATTAGTGCATGTATGTCTGAATATCAAAATAACGAATGCATGAATCATCTGTGTTCACAGAGTCCGTTTACCACCTATCCCTGCAGAAAATGATATGGGACCCACAGAAAGTCCAAGCTGATCTCAAATCCCAATTTGGTTTCAATGGCCATCAAGTGGAACATATCCTGAATTATTCATCTGAGCTGAAGGAGGTATGTATGCATGCTTGTCGTCTTCTCATGGCATTGGGTGTCTTTAGAGTGACTCTACAACTGCAGTTTCACATACAACTGCAGATTCAAAGATTTAGATAAAACACGAATTTGTGCTGCCTATTTCCTTGCCATTACTCTCTAAAGAGCACCACATAGTAACTGTTTACAGAGCGCTCACACCATGTTAGCTATTTTAAGTCACCTAAAAATGAGGCAAAATGTATAGGCAGATATTTGTAGGTCTTATGCAAATACACACCATCTTGAGTAAGAGAACTGACAGCTGTAGGTTTTGAAATATTTGGAGCATCCTGGAGTTAGTGTGCAATAGAAATGGAGGGACAACTGTATACCACCAGGACCAGTTGGGTAGTAGCAATGGGAGATGGTAGTCAGGAAGGTGAGTGAGTGCTGCTCCTAAACTCCAAGTTCCTTAGGTATAGCAGCCCATAGAGATGTTTCCTTGCCCTTCCCTTCCCTTCCCTTCCCTCGCTTCATCTTTCTTTCTTTCTTTCTTTCTTTCTTTCTTTCTTTCTTTCTTTGTTTGTTTCTTTCTTTCTTCCTTTCTCTCTCTCCCTTTCCCCTCCCCCTCTCTTTCTTTCATTCATTTCTTTCATTCATTCCTTCCTTCCTTCCTTCCTTTCTTTCTTTCTTTCTTTCTTTCTTTCTTTCTTTCTTTCTTTCATCAGGGTTTCTCTGTGTAACAGCCCTGGGTGTCCTGGAACTCACTTTGTAGACCAGGCTGGCCTCAAACTCACAAAGATCTGCCTGCCTCTGCTTCTCAAGTACTGCCTGGAAAGATGTCTCATTCTTTCCCTTTCATTTTATCTCAGCACTCAGGCAGTTAGAATATGAACTTGATTACTCTGGGAACCATCAGTAGGAGGAGCCAGACTAGGCCTGATAGAGGTGTGATGTAGACCTATGAGCGTGGCTCCAGGCAGGAAAGTGGGTCTCAATGGGAGCAGATATGTGGGGGATTATCCAGGCAAGGAAAAAAGAATGGGTATGAGAGAAGATGGGCATGGAAAAACTGAGTCCCAATTTCTAAAGTAGATAAAATAAAGGTGTCATCTTAGCCCACCCTTAGAACATAGTTAATATGAACATATGAGGGTGTCTTTTGCCTGTAGATCACTCTTCTATGGCCCCCAGACAATTTGGAAGCCCTTCTGCTTTGCAGTAGGTACAAGAGCACACACCTGCATCCTTGGTCCATGAACTCTTTCTCTTGGACCCTACCTATGTCTATAGGACTTTTCTTGTATGTTAAGTGAAGACTCGGTATCTCCTTTTGGAGTCTTGGAAAATACTCATGTACTTAGGGTGGGATCTAACTTATTTCCCTGTGATTTTCCATGTCCCTGTGAGTAAGCATCCTTCCCTGATACATTATCCATGCTTTGAACACACGCCTCCATGCCAAGGGTTTTGAAAACTCAATTCATGAATTTGTTAATAGTGTTTGTAGGTGGGTCATTTGTGAAGTAACTAGGACCAGTCATGGGGTGCTTTGCTCATCATGACACAGGTGGATTTATTAGTGGAGGGGGAGACCTGAGTGTTACATTCACTCTATATGGCCATGTAATACTCCCTGCCATGCTTTGATGAAGAATAAGGCCCTCATCAGATTCCAAGAAGATTCTCAGACTTGCCAGACTCTTGGGCTAAGGGAACCCAAGAAGCCCAGCAGGTTTAGGCTTTTTTTGTTTATCACTTGGAGATCTTGTATCCATAAGCCCTGGGGGGTTAGGATGGGAAACCTGAGGGTTGGTGAATCTGCTTCCCACTTTCGTGAAAAGCCTGTGAATGTCTGTCATCTGTTAATGTCTTTGGGTCTTCTCTGCGTCCAGCCTGACTTATGTCTTTCCATTTCCCATGCCTGTTGGGAGCCTCACCATACATTGCTTCTGGACTGATGTGGGACTTATCAACACCTTTTTCTGCCTCCACGAAATGATCAATGAGTTCCATGTACTAGGAGTCCCCAAGGTCTTGCTCCAGCCTCAGTGCTCTCATGACTTCTGCAGCCTCTGTGATAGGGCCTGTCAAAGGGAACTTGTCTGTGCATACTGTCCTCACAGACAGAGTGTTTCAACCTAGTCAAGACCTTATCTTTCTAATAGGATACATGACCTTGATATTACCGAGAGTGAGAGAGAGAGAGAGAGAGAGAGAGAGAGAGAGAGAGAGAGAGAACAATAGCAATCAGAACCAAACCATAAGGGGCCCTGTGCTTTTCATAATCGCAAGTGCCATCTGAGTCCTAAAGGAAAGTGTGGGATGAGCAAAGACACTTTATTGTTCTTTGATTATGTCCATTGTTTTTGTCTAGCTTGATGTTGAAATGCCACAACTTGCATGCATGCCCCTGGGATGCTTTTCTCATAACTCCGGAGGCTGAAAGTCTGAGGGCAGGGCACCAGGAGACTGGGTAAAGTCCACTCTCTAGTTGTAAGACGACAGTGTCTTCTTGCTGTGCCCTCACGTGGTCTAAGGAATGACCGACAAGCTCATCAAGCCCCTCCATCATACAAGAAGTGTTAGTCCAATGATGACAGCCTCTTTCTCATGAGCTCATCTACCCATGTGCTAATCACCTCTCCATTACTGTAGCAACTTCCTAAGATTTTTGATCACATTAGTAGAAGAAAGGTTTGTTTGCCTCAGTTTCAGGTATCATGGGTCTCTTGTCCCCTGTATTTTGGGGGTTTTCAGGGAGGTGACACATTTTAGTGAGAGAAGCTATTTACTTCATGGTGGCCCAGAAGCAAAGACAGAAGGAACAGGGCCCCAATGAACTGTAGAAGAGCATATCCAAGATGATCTGGTTTTTCCTTCCTGTGCTTCACTTCCTAATAATACCCATGGGCCTCTGGAGAATACCAGTTACAAACTGCAGAGCTCCTGTGGGGCTCCTCTTCCTCACACTGTCACTTTGTGGGTGACGGCTCCCATGTAGGCATTTGAAGGTGTTGAAAACATTCCTACCGCAGCAACCATCAACAGCACTTCTGATGACAGTACAGTTACTGTAAGAATCTAGAGTGGGGTGGATGTAGCTCCTTTTGCCACACACATTTGTAGAGTAGTTTTAGAGAAGTAAATACATGAAAGAGAATTGGTTCAAAATGGTAAAGCGATGTCTAACCAGGATTGCTTTAAAATATATACTGTCATTGATAAGCAGTACCTGAGTACCACTTTGCGACAGGTCTAGGGATGATAAGGCATGTAATACAAGTGTCTCATGCCCAGATCAGACAGTGAGAATATATAAGAAGCAAAGGCAGGTAGACTTCTTGGCTCAGGATGGCTTTTGGTGGGAGGATGAGGGTGAGCCACATTTGACTTAACCATGTGTCTTCCTGCTGGAGAAATACTGGCTCCTGCTGTTCCTAAAAGAGTGGGATCCATTTTCGTCTTTAACTATAGAGGCCTCCCCCCTCTCAGGACAAACACAGACATCATGAGTGGCAGAGCACTGCTCAGGTGAACACATGAGCTTTGACTCCAGAAAGCCTGGGGTAATATTTTGAAAGAAAAACATTCCGGGAAAAACTGCCTTAATTCTAAGTATTGTTCATGTTGTTTCCAGATTCCTACACACCAGGTCCTCAAGAGGATGATATGTTCCATCTTGTCCAATACTTCTGAGGATGAAGCTGAGAGCAAGGGCTACCAGGCAGACTGTCACCCCAAGTGGTCAGCAGTCAAGGACTATATCATCCATGCAGTCAGTTGGCTGAAACTCTATGCACAGGTGCTGTTGTGTGTCTGAATGCTCCCCGGGCAGCAGATCTTCCCTCCTCATGTCATTCACTATGAAATTCTATGATCTTTCTCTGGGAAAGACCTTAGGACCTCCGCATCTGGTCATTGTGACCCACCCTCACATGCATCCAACAGCTTTAACTCATCATACTCTCAGTCCAAGCCACCAAAACCATGTGACCTAGGCACACAAACACACCTGTTAGCTAAGAGGTCCCTAGATCCATGCTGTGTTGCTGGCACGCGAGATCCCTGGTGCTGCTGCTTTGAATGTCATACAAGCATTAGTTTTGTCTTGTGCCGTCTCTGTTTTTCCTTTGAAACATGAAAAACTAATTTAAAGGCCTATTAGCTGTCTCCAGAGACATAATGGGAAAAGTGTTCGCTGGGAGCTGTTTCAGAGATGCTGGTGTACAATAGCAGAGTACCCTGATAAGTGGAAAGTTGATAGCCTCCAAAGCTCACAATGGCCCTGGCCAGCTCTCAGCTCTGTTCCTTGAGATACATGGACACTAGCAGGCTGCACTCCCACCAAAGTACCACCCACTCCTTGTCAAGTATCATATCCACTTATATATACTTAGAAAACTCACCCTGATAAGATCTTCTTAACCTCCAAACACACATGATTAATAAAGAGCAAAATCTCAAGTACAAAAAAAAATCTTCAGAAAAATATGCAGGACTGTTCACTTGTTAGTGTGTAACTTATCCATCATTGAAGTGACCAAGAGATAGTCTTAAGGGACCAACACTAAAGTGGTAATCTGGGTGGCTAGTTCAGACTTCGTCAGTCTACCTGCCTTTGCTTCATGGATATATACACTGGGCATGAGATACTTGTGCCACATGGCTAGTTGCCTGCGGTATCATTCCCAGACCTGCCACAAAGTAGTATTCAGGGACTACATATTAACACAAAAAAGAGTATATTTGAAAACTTACAATTTCATCCAAACTATTCTCAGTGTGCTATCTCAGTTTTCAAGTTAGAGTTTTGTTTTGTTTTGTTTTGTTTTTTTAAATGAAATGTATAGTCTTACCTTAATTTGTTTTATTTCTCTTAGAGGAAAGAGAAAATGAATAGGGGAATAATAAATAAGCTGTTCCTTGTTGACATTTATAATCTTTGAATTTTGAATAGACATGCAATCATGATACAATTGTAATAGATATTTTAGTTGATCAGAAGAACACAACACAACAAAACCAAAACCTTGTCCTTTGGAATGGTCTGTTACTGTTCCTTAAGCACAGTGTTTCTAACATGATTAATAATCTACTTTTGTTTCTAAATTTGCAGGTGTTTGACCAGTGGCAGCAGGGTGGTCTGCTGCAGAACCTGCTCACAGGTGTCAGTCACAGCCTGGCAGCTCTTAGGGAGCAGTTTAAAGAGGAAAGTGAACCATGGAAGGTAGTGGAAACCCTGCACACTGCCATTCTCATCCTGAGTGACAGCTTGGCAGCGGATGGCCCCAGAGACAGCCATCTGTTTTCACAGATGTAAGCCATATGTATGTCTTTTGTCACTGAGTAGGCTTGATCATGCTGACATTGTAGGAATGTACAATGATGTTGTAAGAAACACATGCTGTAAAACTGTAACTAAACAGGGATTCCAAGTTACTATATAGGAGACCCAAGGCTTTTATTGTGGTTTGCCAGGGTAGACCTATGCAGTCGTCTGGACATGGAAGTGAATATGTGAAGCTGTGTAAAGGGCTGTCTGATTGTGGTGGCATACACCTCTCATCCCAGCACTCAGGGGCACAAGAGCTCTTGAGCTCAGGAGTTCATTCCAGCCTCTGTGACAGTAGTCCTTCCTCAAAAAACATCCAACAAAACCAAACCAAACCAAACCAAACCAAATGAACAAAGCAATCTTACAGGCATAGGAGAATGTGCCAGCTTCCTGAATTTCAGGTTGTTGCCTTTGCCTAAAACGAACACACACACGCTAGAGGTGCTTTCCCATGAGGTGCATCCTGTATTCATATATAAGGACTGTACAGAGCTGAAGCATTCACACAGACTCAGTTATCCCGTAGTAGTGGGAAAATGTGGGACTTTGATTATTACATTTTTAATATAACCAAGATTAATTCACCCAAATGGTAACCTTCTCATTAGACCACATATTTTATTTTAGTGTGTTTCTTTAGGTGCTGTGGGTCTACAGGATAAAACTAACCTAGTTGGGATAAAGAAAAGATGTCATTTTTGTTGTTGTTGTTGGAGAGGGTGGCTAACTGAAACATGGGAAAGCACAAATTCAAGCCTTCTGGACTGTACATCAAGGTTTTATACAGTGGCAATGTCTTCAGAGTTTTAAACAGTAGGGCCCTGAGAAGTATTTGCTAGGTAGGAATTCTGATCAGTGCTGGGCAAAAATAGTCTGTTCCTGGGTAATCTTGGAGAAGGGCTTACAGTATAGTAGGTCAGCAGAAGTTACCATTGTTTTCAAGATCAGCTTGCATGGGCATGTGTGGGGCCAGGCCATAGCTACAACTCTGTTTTCTTGTTCAACCACAGATGCATTTGTGTCTGAGAGAAATTTAGTGATGGCTTCATAACTCAGTTTTCCAGGGCCAATGTACTCCACTTTAAGTCCTCTGTCTCTGTCTCTGTCTCTCTCTCTCTATATATGTATATATATATGTCATGATGTATATGTGGGCTGTGTCTATATGCATGTGATATATGTGTTTGTGTGTTGTATATGTATGATGTGTGTATATACATGTTTGTGTGATTATGTGTGATTGTATATGTGTGGTATGTGCATATATGTCTTTGTGTATATGTATGTATCTGTGTGTGGTGTGTGCCTATGTATATAGTGTGTGGTGGTGGTGGTGGTGGTGGTGGTGTGTGTGTGTGTGTGTGTGTGTGTGTGTGTCTAACAGTTTGTACTAATGTGAATCATAAACCTCTGGAACTAATGCTTTTTTTCCTCAGAAGAAAAACAGATTTTTTTTTACTGTCTCCAAAAACATTGTTTAAACCTTAAGATTTTGTTCAAATACAGACATTCTGGCTCTGTGGGATGCAAATGGTACCACAGAATCATGAGTATAGGAGGCTATATTGTTACGATTGCACCGTGAAGAGTAACTAAAGGTTTCATGCTCTCTCCCATTTTCTAGTGTCCACTTAGGATGTAGGCTTTTTTCTTTTCTTGAGGATCATGTGTTCTGACTGAGGAGATGCCTGGGCTGTATTGGGATTATAGGTAACAGTGCCACAGAGGCAGCAAATAACAGGGGTGTGTTCAAAAAGAAGGACAAAGGCAGGGATGTCGGTAACCTCGGGATCCCTGCACTATTTGTAGTGTCTTAAAACTGTAGTTGGTTTGCTTGGGAAATTTAAGGGACCAATAGTTACATAATAAACACACCACAGTAAGTCACATCAATTATCTTACAGACCCCAAAGACCTCCTGACACTTCAGCCCAGGGTCCTGACCCTTCTCTGACACACAAGAGTGAAATCCAAGGAAGAAATCCAAGGAAGATCCAGTTGCTCCTTAGTTCATTGAGATTAGGGAAGCTGGAGATTTCACTATACGCTGTCCACCAAACCACAGCTAACCTCTGTATGTAGCCAGGCTCAGAGTTTCGCTCTCTACTGCCGAGCATTCAAGGCCGTTAGTCCGAGGAATCTCCTTTTCCATTCAGAAACCACAAGTGCTATACTTAGTACAAAATTTCCCTCTGTTGCTGTCTGGGCAACAAGCTGATCCATCACTTGTGCGATTCTGTCACCTTCTCTGGGACCTCAGACATCCTATCTGGTAATGGCTACCAGATACTCCCTCAGGCTTTACCTAGTTACTAAACCATTGATCTTCTGGAGATGGTGTCCTGCCCAGTGTCCTCATCTCTTCACATTGCTGAGCTGCTCTGATTGACAGAGAGGCCCCTATACAGGCAATGCCCAAGCTCAGTGGAGAATATTCCCATGTCTACCACTAACATCCAGTCCTGTATCTGCTTCTGTCTCCTTCTTAAACTTTCTCCACCTTTCTCCTCTTCAGATTCACTGACTTTCTTACATGGATGTCAAATGTCCCTTATACAGTCTTTAAGACTTTGCAATCCTTTTCACTAATTCTATTGTTTCTGGAGTTTTCTTTTCCTCCTCCCCCTCCTTTTCCTTTCTCCTTCCTCTTTTTTCTCCTCTTCTCCCCCCTCCCTTCTTTTCATGGCATCCCATTTCAGCATGGATATTTGTGGTTGAATGTGCCAGCTTTCTCTCTGATGTCCTTTCTTACCTGTCATAATTAATGACTGACCCCTCTTCTGTTTGGTCCATGTAGCACTTTTGAGTGTTTCCTCCTCGTTAGGGACTTTTGCTACTGTTTCTGCTCTACCTCTTGCCTCTGTTTAAACTTTGTCTGTCTCTCAGTATATGTATTCATATTAAACCAAGCAGCCACGTGTTGCCAGGCCTCTGTAAGATTCACGTTCAGCCTTGGTAAGAAACTGTACCTCTCTTATACCCGGTGTTGGTTCAGGAAACCACACTTGTTTTTAATCCATTGTGTCCATTGCCAGGCTTTCATATCGTCCTCTGGAGTCACTGCAGACTCTCTTGAGATTTTGTCTGTTCCTGCCAATTGTGTGCCTGGGCCCTGGGAGCTCTGCATCTGGGCTCTAATGTGTAGCAAAGATTCTGGGCAACATGGACTTACAGCGTATCCTTGCGTACCCCAGCAAGCCTGACTTGTCAAACACACATATAGCTGTTTGCTTACAGATGTGGTCCTAGAATTCCCTTGATTGTTAGAGCTTGAAGTAGCCCAGATTCAGATTCCATACCCCATGGTAGGTGGCCTTTTCCACTTAGAGAGCAAAATAAAGCATAGCTGTCTCCTCCTTTCTCATTCTTTCCATGAGCCAATGTGCTTGTTCCTCAGTACCTAGAATGTCTTAGAAAGTGAACAATCTGACCTTGCTTCACCCGTGGAAGGGTTAGTTCAAGAAGCTGCCCTTCATGCTGGGTAGAGAGAGCTGGTACATCCACGTGATGGACTGGGGATGTTTCCTCCTTCCTGCTGATTCCACCAGGACCCTCCTCACTCCTCTACTCTCTGAAGCGATGGAATCCAACTGAAGCCACTGTCTGTCAAGCTTGTACTTTACCTAGCACTGGTGAGATGCTCTGAAGAGACCTGGTGGAGCAGGTGTGAGGAAGTCCAGTTATGGACAATCAGTGCAGCTGCGTGCAGGTTTCAGCCCAGGGAGTGTTTTGCTTGGGCTCTTAGTAGCCACATTGTTCATCTTTTGTTCCTCATCTGGCTATCCTTTTCCTGGCTGAAGATGCAGTGTGCTTCCAGGAAGATGCAGAAAGCCTGGCTTTGGCTGCTCTGGGCCCTGTTCCTTACTGTGACCTGCAGATGGCTCTTCACTGTCCCACACTGGTTTCCATTTGAGCTTCTTCTCGACCTCAGTTTGCAGATCATTTCTTTTCTGCTTTCTCAGCGCATTGCATCCTGCAACCATTTGAGCCACACATCATCCTTCTTTACAGACTTGATGGTAGAGCATCTTCTGGGCCTCTGCCTCTTCCTGTAGCTTCAGCTCCCCGAGGAGTAAGACAGAGCCAGATAGGTATTGCTGGAGATTCAGCCCTCAGTGGTTTTCCTTCTAGGATTTCAAGGTGAACATCTTAAAAAGAATATTTCTTACAGCAGGCCCCAGGTTGAGTGCTCTTTCCGCCTCATTAACCCCAGACACTGCAGGTGTCTTACAGTCTTACAGAGTTTTCTTTCTTTCTTTTTTATTCCTTTGATTTTTGGAGACTCTTAACTTAGCCTATGTAGGATTCCTTTAACGGGTCTTTTATGTCACTTTTACTCCTTTGATGGGTCAATATTTTGAAAGTCAGATTAATTTTCTGTGCCCTATAACTGTAAGCTTTAAGGCATTAAAATGTAAGTCTCCCTGAACTGGCCTTGAACTCACTCACAATCCTTCTGCATTAGCCTGACAAGTTCTAGGCTGACAGGCATAAACTGTCACTCTCAGCAATGTATAAATATTTGTAAATGCCAGCTGATGCTTTACCCTAATTTTCACCAGTTTCACACATTTCTTGAGGTAAAGAGAATATTTAATCTGGGTCTGCTTCCTAAAAGAATCTTCCCAGTGGAGGATTCAATGACTGACAAGCTAGTTTGTCAAAAACCCTGTTATGTGCTGCAATGGGCCTTCCAATCTGTGATTATACTTCCCTAAGCACTGGGGCGAACCCTGCTAGATACTGTAGTGGGGTGAACGCTGGCAGGCACTGCAGTGGGCCTTCCTGTCTGTGACCATGCTTCCCTGAGCAGTGCGGTGTTTCCCTTTGCTCCATCTTCTGAGCTGGTACATTTACTTATTCTTGTCCTCAGATTCCAGCTTCTGGGCAAGTTGCAATGTGTGGTGTCAGACCTGTCCCCATGGCCGGTTCTGAAGAGATTGCCCCTGCTGGATACTGTTCTCAGAAACATGGTGACCCAGGACTTGCGTTTTGTCCAAGGTGAACTAGCTCTTCTTTTTTGTCACCCACTTACCACGAACAAATGAAACACTTGCTGGAAAGGGGCAGACTTGTTCCTCATGATGTGTTTATAAAGTTTCCAGCTGAGCTATGCTGGCATATCATATACACTTATTTATTGCTACAGTGACCTCAAGGATGTTTCACATACACCATGCCATGCTGCTGTCACAATGAAGGTCACATACTTCTGTTTAGCAGAGCCTGCTGTGTGGTCTAGGACAAGCCATTTCACGGGATGGTTTGACTTTCTCACGGACACCAACCCCATGCTTCTCAGGCTGGGAATACACACTGTGCATAAGGGCAATGGTACTTCTGTTTGCCCACCCTCTCTACTGGTCAGAGCCTGCTAAGAGTACAGAATGCCCTATTTTGAACTTCTACTGACTGGCAGGTGTTCCTTCTGCCCTAGCTCAAAGAAGGCAATTTTACACTTTTCCCTTCATGGGTCAAATTCTTTTCCCTTCCTAGGGAGAAGAGAGAAAAAGTGAGAGAGAAAGGACATTGCTTTAGAAACAGAGTGTTCTCATGAGTTTTCAGAAAGGATAAAATCACAGTCCGTGATGTTCCCTTTTCCTTTCTAATAAGATTATGAAGTGTTTGATAACAGGTTGGGTTCACTGAAATTCATATTTTTTTGGATTCACTTTACTGTCTTATGGTTATGGATAGAATCCAAGATTAAACAAGCCTATGTCAGGTGGACAGTGAGACATATTTCTTTCTTTCAGGAGTCCTCAGTTACCTGGAGACATCAGCAAGGGATTTTATGCCTGGTGGATCTGGCAGCTGGATACTAGAAAAGGATATGTTCTTCTGGGGGCTAAAACAGGTACAGATCATAGACAAACCATTTCCACAAAACATTAAAAAATACCCAAGCAATATTCAGTGTTGCCTGTGTGAGTTTTGCTGGCAAAACAACAACAGACAGATTTTTGGAGAACTCTGGGCTTCACTTTAACATGGTTACTGTTTCCATCTGTAGTTCTTGATTCCATGGGGAACATCACCCAGTGTTCCTAAATGTTCCCTCTTCCCATCCTCATTAAATTTTCAGCTGTTGACAAAGAACGCTTCTGCCACTTGCCTGAATGGACACTTGTCCCAGGAGGCAGCCCTCCCCATTGGGAACGCCAGCATCTGGAGAAGTCTCTGGGGAGTGCTATGCCACGACCCCTCCGTCAATGAGACCAGTGTTTTACATGAGCTGCTTCTTGCAGTGAAGGAAGCTGTGAGTATTCATCGTTAGATCTTTCCAACAGCACCAATGGGATGAGTCACTCAACATGGTAATCTTAAACCTAGAATTTGAACTATGTAAGTATTGGCATCGCTGAAAGGACACTGCCGCCTGAATGGTGGCTACCCATCAATTCTATCCCTCCTGATTACTTGGGTGTGGAGGTGCATATTCCCTGCCACAACCTACCTGGAAATCTCTAAGAGGACTACAAACTTTCAAAAACACACATCTGCCTTGCAGGTTTCCTCATCTCTTGCCCACTGTGTTTCTAGTTGCACATGGTAAGCAAAGTGCAGAGTGAACTTCAGCAATCTGTAATTGTGCAGCAGCTTATAGCCATGGCTTTTAGTGATGCGAGGACCTGAAAGCCATCCTCTTCCCCTATCCCTGCCTAGTATCCAGGAAGCTATGCTGAAAATTCTCACAGACTATGGAATGCTTGGAAAGAAGATTATGTCAATGTTAGCACTTATTTTCTTACAGATAATTACAATGTATATTCTTATGTTTATTATTTTGCTCCTCTCACAAATCCTACCTCTTAAAATTTTTTTTCCTGAAATTACTGAAGTGATAAAAGCAATAAAATAGAAATGATGTCAAGCTAAAATGAAAGTGTAAGTAACAGTGTGTACATAGTCAAAGCCTTCATTGTCCTCTCCGCATCTATTACATGTGCCAAGGGATGTACAGCACAAACATGAAGATCTTCTTGGGCTTGAGCAGGGCCGATAACACGAGCGCAAAGCAGTTCAGCATCTGGACGTTTCCCCAAAGTTTATGAGTTTTAAATGTGGAGGAAACCTGGAAGCTAAGAAAAGCCATAGCCAATGCTAGTTAGACAGAAAGGTATATATGAAGTCATGCTGACATGGGAAAAGCCCATGTGGAGCCTGGACTGCCTCACAGGGATCAGCGGGCGGCAAGAATTCCTCTTCAGCTGTATGAGAAAGCCTTTCATCTGGAAGCTAAGTGATCTGTCCTAACAAACTACCCCAAATCTCAGTGGCTGAAAACCAACTCTCTGATCTCTCATGACTCTGGGGGCTGAAGGGGGCTCAGGCAGCTGGAGTTCTCACAGTCTTACAGATGTTGAACTGTGATCTGTGGTCATAAAGACTGGGCTTGGGAAGTTTGGCTAGACTGAAGTCATGGAGTTCATCTTTTCTCTGTAATAAGGCCATGTGGGCTTCCTCGATATTCAAGGATTCCAAAAATGGACAGGAAGCAAAGTTTTCAAGTTTGTGACAGCTACTCGGACTGAAATTTGTGCAAGTCACTCTGCTGCATTTATGGACTAGTGAGAGTCAGGGCCCACCCTGGAGGGACTGTGGGAGGGGGTCACCAAGAGGGAGTTTATCATATCTTCTTCTCTGAGGACTTTGTTAATTGTTCTTCCACCACATTTGGGGAGGCCATCCAGCACACATGGCTATGACACTAGAGTATCTATCAGGTGACTGATAAAGTGGGAGATAAAGATGACTTTAATTACTGGGTAAGGCTTTATGTGGAGGCTGTATGGAACATGAGTAAAAGTCAGAGTCTAGAGTGTTCTATAGTTCATATGAAACCTTGATAACTGAGCATAAGTGGGCTACACCTGAAGTGCCCACATGAAATGGCTCAGCTTTTGACAGGTGATATCTTCTCTTTTGTTTAAGGGTCATAGTTTGCAAGATGTCATTGTGGCACATACGGATGAACCAGTTTCAGAACAATTTGGGCATTTAGGTTGGCAGGAACTTGGGACACAGCTGTCAGAAGTGAACTTTACTTGTTCTCGGGTCTTCAAGCTGCCAGGAGCTGCCATGTCACCTGAGAAAGGTATCTCTCCAGGTGGCTGTGAGTACCAGCTTGTTTCCACAGTGTAAGTATGTGCTGGATGGGGCATGGGCAGGATTTCAGGTGCTATGCAATGATGGCTCACCATCAAATGTTCCATCCTTCAAGAACAGAATATATAAAGGTGCTTTAAGGGCAGTAGCCTGTTGCTATTATAAGAAAGCTTCTGAAAGCTGTAACACATCAAACCGTTTCCATGCTTAACCACTGACAACCTTTTATGAGAAACCCAAAGTCTGTGTGTAACCAAGGCCAGTGTTTGTCACATAGTTAGAATTTCCATATGGGAGACTATCAATATGAGCTGTACCTTATCTCTATTTCATGACCCTTTTCATCAATAGCCACATTAAGCTTGCACTCAAATAGGAATGCATGTTTCTCAGCCTCAAAGTTTATTTTATAATGTTGTATTTGTTTCCTCTTGATCTACTCTTTGTTTTGTGTTTTATGTATTGTCATAAATGGTTTCCCTTATCATCTAAATCAGGATAGAGGAATTAATAGATGTTAAGTGAACCATTTCAAAGATTCTAATTTTTTTTAAAAAATGTGGACTGTCAGACATTTGCATGCATTGTCTTTAGATTGGCATGTAGTTATACAGCAATGGGAAAACTGTTAGTAAGTTCTAGCTTTCTGTATTGTTTTGGCTCTAGGATGTCTCACATACTTGAAGAAGGACAAATGTCCCTGGAGCATGTATTGTATTGGAAAATCTTCATAGGGATCATCAGGAAGACATGTGAATTGACTCGATATGTGAACATGCATGAAAGTTTCCAGAACAGTCTGCCATGTAAGTTGAGAGGTCTTAATGACAGGAAATGTGTGGTGTATTCCCCCCTTAGTAACACAGAGTTGCGTTATGAAGTGCTATCATGTGTCATGGGGGGGGGTGAGGCGTAAGTGGACATCCCTCCAACACTGCTAGTTGATATGGTCACTGTGTGCAGGGTTTCCTTATAGTTGGGATCAGACTCCCCAAACTGCCTTTCTTTGTCTGACCAGGTTCTCCCAGCACTATTCACAGAGATCTTTTTCACCCTCAAAATTGTCTCTTGTTTGGATGAAAACATTTATTTTTCTAATTTTATTACTTCACTGAGAGTTATGCATACCTTCTGATTAAATTCATCCCTCCTCTAACTCTTCTCAGACCCACTTTCTCCCCTCTTCATCAAACTTTTGCATCCTTTTGTAACTTTTGTAACTTTTTTGTAACTTTAAAACCTCTCAAGTCCAATTTGTGCTGCATAACTACTGTAGAATGTGTGACTTTCACTTGAGTATGGTTGACTTACCAGGGGCTAGTCTCTTAGAGAAAACTGTCTCTACCTCTTCTAGCAGCAAGCAATTACCTCTCTATGGTGAGGGGTGTGATTGTATGCCTAGCTCTCTTCCCCATGCAGGGATTTGGTCTGGCTTGGGGTTGTACAGGTCTTGCGCATGCTTTTGCAACTGCTGCGATTTCATATGTGCAGCTGCCCTCTGTGTCCAGAAGACACTGTTTCTTGTGGTCATTCACCACGCTTGGCTCTTACACTCTTTCAACTCCTTCTTCTGAACTGATGCCTGAGACATGGATGGGGGGTATGGTATGGTATATATGTTCCTTTTAGGGCCTAGCATTTTGCAGTGTTTTATTCGCTGCACTTTGTCTATTTGTGGGTCTCTGTGTTAATCAACATCTACTGAAAATAGATTTTCTTAGATAAGGATTGAGAGATGACTTGATCTATGAGTATAACGGTAAGTCATTATGAGTCAGTTTAATACTATGTTCATTTAGCAAAATAATAGTATTAGATTCTCCTCTAGAGTCTATGATTTGTCTAGCTATAGGTTCTTAGCTCACAGTGGCGTCAGATGTGGGTTTCATCTTGTGGAACAGAACTTAGTCCAATCAGAAAGTGAGATGTTTGGTTACTACCATGATGTTCATGTCTAGTGAGATGGTTGGTTACTCCCACGATGTTCATGTCTCTATTGTACCGGTAGGCATGTCTTGTCAGGTCAGTCATTATTGTAGTTCATAGGATTCACAGCTGGCAGTGAGAATTTATTATTCTTTCTCTGGTTTTCTTTCTTCCCTCCTGCAAATCGCTGCCTTTACAGACTGCCAGAGAGTCTTCCTCCCTGGCTCTCAGTTGTAAACCTTCACCTCACTGGACAGACAGATCTTGCAGTTCTTTCTGGTTATACTCTGAAAGCTCTGAACTTCAAGGGTGTTGGAAGCATCCTCCTGGCCTGGATGATCATCCCGAATGTTAGCCGTCTCCTTTACCACCCATCTTCCTTTTCAGCACCTATTCTTGCCTGTAGTCTTTATTTTTCTATTCCTGCTAAAAAACCCTCTTGAATTAAGATAAAAATAAATCTTTCAAAATGTGTTTTTCCATTCTAATGGATAATCTCAAGTTTCCCTTTTTAGTACCAGTATCCTGAAATTTCAGGGAGACTTCTGTAAACATGAACTTTGAAAACTGCATCATTCTGTATATATACTCAGTAAGTCATTCCTACTCAATAATTAATAGTTTGGAAAATATTCTCGCATTATTCCTTTTGTACCTTAACACCTGCATTTTGCTTTCATTCTAGAACTTCTGTTAGTCACCCATTGTTCCTTTTATATGATTCTCTAATTTTATAATCTTTTTTTACTTCTTTTTTTAATTTATTTTTCTTATTTTACATATCGATCTCAGTTCCCTCTCCATCCCTCCCTCTCTTCCACCCTCCCATGCCCCCCCCTGACCACCCTCCCATCCCATGCCCCCCCCACTCCACATGTAGGGTGATGCCTTCCTGGAGGGGTCATCTAAATCTGTCAAGTCATCTGGAGTAGGAACTAGGCCCTCCTTCCTACCTCTAGGTTAAGGGAGTATCCCTCCATGGGGAATGTGCTCCCAAAGTCCTTTTGTGCACCAGGGGATACATCTTGGTTCCACTGTCAAAGGTCCCTTAGACTGCCCAGGCCTTCTAACTAAGATCCATGTTCAGGGGGTCTGAGTCAGTGCCATGTTGGATTCCCAGCTATCAGTCTGGGGGCCCATTAGCTCCTCCTTGTTCAGGTCAGCTGTCTCTGTGGGTTTCTGTAGCCTGCTCTTGTCCTCCCTCTCTGTATCTAGATTCCAGTTCAGCTCAGTGTTTAGCTGTGGGTGTCTGCTTCTGTTTCCATCAGCTACTAGATGAGAGCTCTGTGATGCTGGTTAAGTTAGTCATCAATCTCATTATCAGGGAAGGGCACTTATGGTAGCCTTTCCACGGTTGCTCAAATTGTTAGTTGGGGTCAGTCTTGTAGGTCTCTGGACATTTCTCTAGAGTCAGTTTTCTCTGGAAACCTATAATGGCTCTCTCTTTTATGGTCTCTCTCTCTCTCTCCCTTTTCTCTCATCTATTCTTCCCCTGACCCATTCTTCCTAGTCCCAATGCTTTCCTCTCCTCCCTTTCTCTTTCTCCTAGCCCCCTCTCCACTCACTACCCCCACTCCCAATATACTCAGGAGATCTTGTTCCTTTTCCCTCCTGTGAGGGTCCTTGTATGAATCTCTTAGAATCCTCTTTGTATCCTAGTTTCTCTGGTGGTGTGAATTATAGGCTGGTGATTCTTTGCCCTATGTAATTTTATAATCTTTCAGGATGATTTTTCTGAGACTTTTCCTTTATTTTATTTAAAACACTTTTAAGATTTTTTTTTTATTTATTCTGAAGACCTTCCTAGGCCCTTTAGGTATTCATTGAAAATAGCTTCTTGTGCATCTATTTTCTTATCACAAAGCAGTCTTTTTTTAAAAAAAAATTGAATGATGATTTTTTTGTTTGTTTTTTGAGGCAGGTTTCTCTGTGTAATACCCTTGGCTTTTCCAGAACTCCCTTTGTATACCAGGCTGGCCTCAAATTAACAGAGATCTGTCTGCTTCTGCCTCCTGAGTGCTGGGATTAAAGATGGGTACCACCACTGCCCAGGTTGAATGCAGATTTTTATATTTATTTTTGTTGATTTTTTTTTCTGTGTGGGACATCTCTTTTATATGGAAAATTCTATTTAGGCTCTGATGCTCTGAGGTGCTTCTTGTCCATTCTGTGTAAGAACAAAAGCTCTTCCTGCCCACAGGAAATACCATGTGCCGGGGTTCTTGTCAGCTGATGGGCTCTGTCCTGCTCAGGTGATGAGGTTATAAGCCATCTCTCCCCACAGCTGGCCTTCATAGCTTGGTATAGATGTGTACCTTTTTTCTTCTTCTGGGATAAGTTGATTTCTCTGAAGCATTCAAAAGAGAGTTCTCCAGAAGACTGTTGGCAGACAGCACTCAGGGGAACATGGTTAGACATGATTTCCAGTGCTCTTAGAAATAAGGGAGCTGATGAGAACTTCACTGTGAGAATGAGCAATTGAAGTAGTCTTCTATATTGCCAGCAGGGTGTGTCATTCACACCATCACATGCACTGATACTCTAAGTTAGTTCCAGCCAATTTCATTTCCCCAGATCAGCAAATTTCTAGTCTTCTGCTGACATGGAGGGGCACTTTTCTGTCTGGGGTGATGGAGAGACTATGTCATAATTTTCCTCATTAAAAATGTGTTTCTGGTAGTGGATCAGTATTTATCCCTAATATACAAATGGACTTTGGGAGCCCAATCCACATAGAGGGATACTCTCTCATCCTAGGCACATGGGGGAGGGCCTAGGCCCTGCTCTAAATGATGTGACAGACTTTGAAGATTCCCCCATGGAAGGCTTCACCCTCCCTAGGGAGCAGAAAGGGGATGGGATGGGTGTTGGGGGGCTAGGGGAGAGTTAGGGAACTGGGATTGATATGTAAAATAAGCTTGTTTAAAATTTATATAAAAATAGTATCATAAAAATTGTGTCTCAAGCTACATGTCCATTTTTAGTTCTATCTCTTACATACTAGGACATTTGTTCTCTAATTCATGGGTCTTATTAAGAGTTACAAGGAGAACCTGTTGAGACAAACTGTTTCTGCTCCGCCTGACTGAACCCCTTTGTTCACTTATATTCCTACTTGTAGATGTTAGTAGCCACCATCCACTGCTCCTTCCCTTTCCACCCATCTCATCTGTAGGTTCAACAGCCTTCTGTTTTCTCTTGATATTTTATAGACCTTTGGGGGATGATTGGAGAGGAAGGCATGTGTTTGGTCTTCCAATTAAATGTCTTCCTGGGGCAATGTCTTAACAGTTAAGGAACCTGGAATTGGAAGGAGCTCCCTTCCCAGTTTCTTGTTATTGGGATGATGAAGGGGAGAATGGATGTCTACTTGTCTTGACTGTTTGGAAAGTTTCCCTGACTTTTGGAAAGGACAGTTATCTTTTAAATCAAAGGTGGGACACTTAATTTGAGACCCTGTGGTGCAAGGGAGAAACCTAAAAGGGGCCCAAGTTAGTGAGGGAAATAGACAAAAGTAGAGAAAAGGTCCAGGAAAGGCTTGTGTTCACCGATAACTCATCACATGAAGCCGGACTTGAAGGATGAATGCATTTAACAGGCAGAAACAGAGAGATATTTCTCCTTATAGTACTTCAGTCACAATCAAACTAGCAAATCTTTCTACAATGGACTTCAAATTATGAAGCCTTTGATTATTCAGCAATTTTAACTGTTAAATGGAAAGTTGGTTAGCTAACAAGGGGGCTGATATTAAGTATATTTAGTGGACTATGGCCATTTGACTTTCTCCCCCCCTCCTTTTTTTGTTTGTTTGTTTATGTTATGTATGCTATACCCAGATAATTGCCTACATCCTTGCTACTAACAGTGTGGTCCCTGGAACAGTAGCAACAGCTGGCATCTCATTAGCAATGCAGATCACAGCCCCACCTCAGACCTGCAGAATAGTCTAAATGTGCATTGTAAGATGTCCAAGGGACATGTAAGCATACAAACATTTGGAAATCACCAAATAGCAACGTGAGAAAAACACACCATAGCAAAACATCCTGCAGCTGTGCGTTCATCTTCAGATTTCACATCACTCATCTCTTCATCCTCCTTTAAGCTGGCAACAAAAATGAGACAAACACAGACAATAAGACTGTGGTATAAAGGAGACATGGCATGGTTTAGTAAATAGATTTGGCTACTATCCATTTTAGAGTACAGTTTTACCTCGTAGACCAAGCAGGGGTGGAGTGTGATTTGATAGCATGGGTTGTAGAAGCAGCTGAGAACAAATATTGCATCTGACAGATTTAATTGAGCCAACCAGCAATATCAAGGATATTACTTTTACTTTTGATAAGGTAATTAAAAAAGCTTACTTTAATAGTGTCTTATCATGAAGACCTGAGACGATGTATATAAATAAGGTGCCTAACAAGAACTGAAGACGCGTAATAGAAGCCACCTCTTTTTCTCTCCACTGAAATGAGCATCTGGATTGAACTTCTTCACAAAGAATGGCAGAAGAGTTTACTGTGGATAATTTTATCCTTTTTTCTTGCTTAAAAATTTCTGTTTTACTCTTTTATTTTCTGTTAGCATCAACCCTGTTCTTATTCCATATCATACACCTCTGACTTAGTTTGCTGGAGTGTTTCAATCTTTCCCCCATAGGCATGTAGTTATTTTAGTGGGAACTTGATGAGGCATAATGAATGAGTCTTCTGCAATTTTACTTGAGAAATAGATGCTAAGGAGGTTAAATTGCTTGCTTGAAGTTAGAAACATTTTTGTTTGGAAAAACCCATAACAAAATAAAACACATTTGAAATACATAAATCTGTATATACCCTCGAAACATCTTCGTCACACCGTAACTTCTCAGTTTCTTTTCTGAACAATGAGTAATTCACAGGTGTATCATTTCATTTTCAAAATGTTGGATTTTCAGTTATATTTTTGTTACTGATTTCCAATTAATTCTCTTTTAGTCTGTGAACACTCCTTATACCACCAGTCGTGTGTGTGTGTGTGTGTGTGTGTGTGTGTGTGTGTGTAGTTTGTTTGAAGTTTTGATAATTGTCCCATGTGTCCAGGAAGGGAATCAACATTGTTTTGGCCCTGGGTGGAATGGTTCTTGAGCATCAGGTAGTTTACATTGTTAGAATTATGCAAATTCTCCATTTTTGATGATATTGTTTCTAGTCTAATTACATCCTAGAGCACAACATGAATTAGCCTATTTCTGTTTGTGCTTTGTTTCTGTGTCCTGTGTTTTGGAATTCTGTTGTCAAGTGTGCACTTGTTTGGAATTATTATGCTTTTTTGATGACTTGATGCCTTTAACATCATGAAATGACAACATTGTCACCTGAATTCAACATTGTTTGATAGTTTTCTTGTTGATTAATATTGAGAGTCATAGATCTTTTCTTTTTGTCTTTATCTTTTACATATATTTCTTACATACACTATATGATTAGTTTTTATTTTATCCATCCTGAAAAGCTTTGCCTTTTAACTGAACTGTGTAAATTATACAGTATAAAATAAACAGCACATACCATGTTGTGTGGTTCCTGTTCAGAATCATTCCATCATGTCCATCCATTTTGACCAATTATTTTTCTCATCATATTTCATTCTTTGTATGTCTGGAACTTTTGGTTGGATGCCAAATACTGATTTGATCCTTATTCTGTGCTATTAAATTTTATTCTTATAGTTATTCTTGAAATAAATTAATAAAGCTTAGTCCTTTAAAGGTCCTGGGTTCCCAGCTATCACCACTCTCCGTTATGGGGATTTATACACTGGGCTTTGTACCTGCCACTGAACTACACTCCTAGTCATAGGACTGCTTTAAAGTTGGTGTGTCGAACCTGTGACTCATGAGCACCATGCATCTCAGGAGAGGGGTGGCTATGACCGAATATGTTTATATATGTATTGCAATGCCAAGAGATGGACACCTCCTCTTTAACAATTTGTTACTCAGCTCAGTCATCTCTAGAGATTGCCCATAGCTCTGAAAATCCTTTTTACTTACTGTGCTGGATAATTTATGAATTGTAAAATGTTTCAATATAGCTGTGAGCAAGAGTATGTTCCTGTTAATGTGTGACCACTAAACAAACACCTTCAGTGTTTTGGGGGTGAAGATTCGTAATCTCAAGCAGTGTCCTCAGATGCATAGTTAGTTTTCATCTGGACACTAGAAGGATACATGCTCTTTGAAGAACTCTTCTGGCATTCTTTCTTTTACACTTTAAGCTTCTTGCCAACACAGCATGTGCAATGAGCTGCAGACCCCCTCTTCCTTGTACTTGGTCCTAGTGTCTCTCTACATTGATGAGTGGGGATAATCACAGGTCTGGTCTCCCCTTGCATGGTAGACAGGGGTGTCTTCTGCACGTCAGTCTTCTTCATTGTCCAGTGTCTGATTGCTTCATCATGACTGGAAGCAGATATCAAACCACAAATTTCCAAAACCTCTTTAGTAATTTTTCAGACAGACTAGGTTATCTGCTATATATTTTGCTTGACTATTGTACTCAGATTATTGATGTTTCTTTTTTAGCTTTCTCTGACGACTCTCCTTGTTATACAAAAAACATGGATTGGAAAGCCATTATTGATACGTACTTTGTATTTTTCAATAACATTATGAAGTCCCCAATAACTTCCATAGCCAGGTAAGTTTTAGAAGCCAACTTGCAGGTATTAATTGTCATACGCAAATGCCAATCATAGGCTAGTCATTATTCAATGGCTATGAGCTCAGTTTAAACAGTGACAGTGTGTTTCATATCAGGCATCTAGTGACCATTTGTCTATCAACTGTGTGATCACAGGAATAGGATTGTCCTAAACAGTAGCATGAATGATAACAGATGATCTAAGAATAAAACATTTATTTAAGAACAGCCTGTCATTGCTTGGCACTTCAACACAGGGTCAATGATTTCAGTTGTAGTAATTGCAGGGAGGGGTGATCTTTGGAAGTAAATATGCCGGGGTATTTCCTGCTTTGCTATTTCATCACATGCTTTGAGATGGTGTTTTAATGTACGGTCACAGATATTTTTGCCATGTTTGAAGCTCTCGTGTTTGTGAACTGTGCTGGGGTTGGATTGGGCAGAAGTCTTACCTATAAATAGAAGAACTCAGAGTCAGAAGGGGTCCAAACTTAACTGTAAAGTTTGCTCAAGCTGTTGAGTGTGAACCTCACTCCAATATGCTAAATCCTCTAACTAGGGCCCAGGTTTCTTGTGCATTTACAAACTCCACTAGAAGTTCTTTCAGATACCAAAGTTTCAAAGCCATTCAGCTATCCCTCCACAGACCTGAATTTCCTTAAACTGGGGAAGATTTCCTCAAGGGCATAGAAGGAAAGTCAACAGGATGACCTCTGCAAAATCAGCCTCTGTTCATTCTATGTCCTGAACATCTCAATTACTCAACAGCTCTAACAAGAGCAACGAAAGCAATCTGAATGTGCTCTAAGGACATGTTTTCATTTTATATCTATGAACTCACTGGAGATAGCATGGAATTATTAAATGAAGAGGATAGTTAGTTAACCTAGTGTTGATTCAGTGGATGAAAATATTAGAGATTAGGTACAACTGATGCCAAGGAAGCTGGATTCAGCTTAAGGAGACCTGGGCTTTGCTCCTGCTATATGTTAATAGAGAAGCTTTGTTAAATAAAATCATTTTTCATAAGATCAAAATATTGACATGTCAACGTACTGTCAGTAGGGATGAGGTCAGACTATAGTTGTGGGAGTAAGTCACAGATCCGACTGGATCTTTGTGTCAGCATTACTCATGGCATGTGACTCCTTCTTTGCTGTTAAATGTGCTCTACTCCCCACCTTCGTCAGTCACCTGCCTTATTGCTGTGGCAAAATACCTAACCACGTTTTAGTTCATGATCTCAGGGGATTTAAGCCTGTCAGGGCAGAGAAGGCATGGTGGTGGAAGCAGCTGTTTGTGCAGGAAAGAGTGTGAGGCAGCTACTCACATTGCTGCATCCATTACTTGATTTATCTCGGGAGCCCATGGCCTTTTGAAAGGAAACATGAAACCATTCATCAGGCATAAATGGCAAATTTGTGCTTAACAATCACACACATTGGGGCTGGAGAGATGACACAGTGGTTAAGAACACTAGCTGGTCTTCCAGAAGTCCTGAGTTCAATTCCTGATAACCACATGATTGTAAAGCGTACGGTTTTTTACTACTTCCTCTTTCCTCCTTGTCTCCTAGCCCCACCTATCTTACTTTCCTATTGGCCAACAGTGTTTTATTCATTAACCAGTATAAGAAACATATTCAGAATGACATTCCCATCACATGATGGCTCACAACTGTCTGTAATGAGGTCTGGTGACCTCTTCCGGTTTGCAGAGATACATACAGACAGAACACTAGACACAATAAATGAAATGTTACTTGGTAAACAAAATCAAACAAACAAAAAAAAACAGTCATACATATTGATTCATAGGGCAATGTGATTTAAAATGCATACTTTATGATAATAGGGAGAACATTTTAAGTTAAATAGATGTGGCCATGTTGGGATTTCTAACATAATAATAGGTTCTTATATTAGCTTGGCATGAAGTGAAGGATGTATTGTCTAGAAAATGTTTCATTTTGGTCATTAGAAATGATCACTGTCTTAGAAAGCTGTAATGTTAGATGAAATTTTCTTTCTATGATAATGAAACAATTCTGTCTGTATTACAGGGTCTTAAATTTCACAAAGCACCTTTTAGTGGTGGACAAGAAGATGCATGCCTTTGAAAATGGACAGACGAGCATTCTTTTGTCACTTGTGGAGTTTTTGGAGGAATTTTTGTTGTTCGACCCTTCTGGCTCACTCACTGCTCCTGAATTTCATAGTTTCTCTTCTCTCAGTGACCTTGTTCTGAATAGAAGCGTTCCATGGATAAATCGCTTAAAAAGTTTAGAGAGAGACCCACATGATGGTGATGCTCAGAAACTTCAGGAAATTCAGAAACTGGTTATTGAAAAAATTCAAAGTCTTAAAAATCATTGGATGAGGAGGGAATCCAAAAATATTTTGAGATTCATTGAATTAATACTTCTTGAAATTAACCCAGAACTGCGAGGATTCTGGCTCAATGGCACTTCACAAGGAGGAAGAGCTAAATTTGAAATCTCATCCACACTTGGAAATTTTTCTGTTCCAGAATATGAGAAAATTCATAGCAAAAGCTTTAATCTCTCCCAATTGTTCCATGCCTATTGGCCCAACTCACCAGCTGCGAACACAGACTTTATACACTTAAGCAGGGCTATAATACACAGTCTCTATGAATTTAGCTTCCTGACACAGGAACAAGTCTCAATAGCTCTGGACACCATCTATGCTCTGCAGAACATGTCTGAGCATTTCTCAGCCCTTTCTGAACCCCAGAAACAAGAACTGAATGACATTTTGGCTTGTATAAATGTCTTCAAAGACAGAGATGCAACTCTTCTTCTGCAGACCTATTCTTCGCTTTACCAATACTTTCATAAATTCCTTAATGTTCAGAATAGAGAGTCTTTGATAATTTATCTTACTTGGCTCTCTAGATACATTTTGGATCTCATAAAGCAGCTTAATATCCAAAACATCCACAAAGCACTTTTGCTTTTATCTGAGACAACAGAGGCTCTTGGGACAATACTGGAAGTATCTTACTGTCAGCAATTGCTTTCAATTTTAAAATTTTTGGAGCTTCAAGCCCAGTCGCTGATGTCTGCCGAGGGCCTGGCACCAGGAGTGATTCATGCTACTTTGACAGGCCTCAAGCAGCTGTTTGCAGTGGATGAAGGCTTTCGTGTTTCTTTACTTCAGTATGTCAATCAGTTCTCCAATGCTTCAGCAGGGACCCTGCTGCTGAGTGAATGCACCATTCTTGGAAATGCAACCATTTCTTCAGTGAATTATTCAGGAAATGAAGGAGCTTCACTTCCTTTCCCATGGACACAATTGTTTTCAAACCTCTCAGTAAATGGCACTGCGATCAGTGAATTCATGGCCATTCAGTGCACCCTTTCATGGATTCAGACCTGGACTGAGATCTGGGGAAGCATTTCTCAAATATTTAAACTTGACCTGAATATTTTTACTTTTCTTCATGTTGGTATCACTCAGCTTTTGGATGAACTGGGAAATGATGGGAACATTTCTAAAACCTGCCGAGGAATAGTCCCCACTTATCATACTGCTGGACTCATATTAGATTTATTTAAAAATGTAACTCAGGAGAATGACTTTCATGACTGGGATGGCCTCCTGGTCCTCAGGGATCTTTGGGTAGCATTAGGTAATGAATTAGCTGCAGTGCGATCACTTAACCTGGACCAAGTAGAGAAATCTTTTGTCACCATGGAAACCTCCCTGCACCAGCTGAAGACATTTCTAATGAAAACAAACACAAGCTGGGAGTTTTTATATCCCCTCTTTGATGTCTTCATTGAGTTGAGCAAAGCCTCAGACTATGTGGATAGAAATGGTGATCTGATAAATAACTTTCTTTCCAATGATCTCACAGATCATAGAGGCAAATTTACCGGTGGCATCACTGAACTGAGAGAAACAATATTACTTCTTAGGAATGTGTCACAGGATAGAACTTTATTATCATGTGCATATATTTTCCAGAATCTAACTGAGTTGATTTCCAAAGATAATTCATTACTTGTGAACACTTCTAAGAAGCCAGCACATATTCTGGCTATGTTAAGTTCCATATTTTCATCGAAGAACACAAGTACCAGCCTGGAAGGGTGCATTGAGTGGATAGATGTCATAAATAGTCTGTGTATGTTATATAACTCAAGTTCCTCACCCAGCCATCCTCACAGCACTTTGGGAAGCTTTAAGGATATAGAGAACAAAATGAACTCTGCATTGAAAATTCTAACTTGGGCACTAAATAAGAAGATACCCTTTTGCCCATCAAATGAGTCATATATAAATTGTGTGACTGTTTACCTGAAAGACATAACTGACTTTCTAAATATTATAGTTACTATAGGCTTAGGAAAAGAGAAGGTCCATGAATTTGAGAGTTTATTTGCTCTCTTCAATGATTCCATAAAACACATAAATATGATCATCACCAATTTAACAAGAGATTATGATTTTGCCTCCTTGTCTGACTGGAAGCATATCAAGGACTTATTTCTGAGACCCAGAGGAATGTCAGATGACATTCCTGATCAGTTTCAGAATATTTGGCAGCACATCATAACACTGGGGAAGGAAATGCAGAAACTTTTAAAAGGTAGTTTCCATAGTGTCCTCAGAAATAATTCCTCTTCTGACACTGAAGCAGTGTTTGGTGTATTCTCTACCAGTCCAAAGGAAAGCGATATAAGCCGTTTAGGCAATTCCATTTACCGCTTAGCTAATTACTTTGCTCTCAACTCAACTCATGATCTTTGGAATTCATCAGAAACTGTCCCACATGAAATATTGAAAGCTGTAGGTTTCTGTATCCAACTGACACGGGATGTTTTCAACTCTTTAATGCCTGCATTCCGTTTCAATATTCCCCAAAGTTCAGATCACGCTCAAGTTTTAAAGAAAGTGACATCTTTCCTGCATTCTCTCAAGAAGGCAGACATAGAGCTCTTAGTAGGCCAGCTGGGTCAAATTGGTGAAAACTTAATGAGTTTCTTTAAGAATCTCAGCAGGTCAGGGGTTGACAATTTAGGGGTCCATGTGCTTGTTGGCTTAGTGGAAACATTTGTAGACAGCTCACATTCATGGAGCGTTAATCACCTGCTGCGCCTCTCTCGCCTGCTTCCCAAGGAAGTGGTGAACACTGTGTTGGATGTATATTACGCTCTTCCCCATATTGTGAGGCTCATGCAGAGGGTCACAGATAAAAACATCACAGAGAGCCTCAGGGACATTTATAACTTCACACTTCTTCATGGAATAACGGCGTTCAATACCAGCAAGGAAGACTTCGCCAATGTGATTAAAACTCTTCTGGATACAGTGGAGTTAGTATCTGACAAGCCAGCCGTTATTTCAGAGGCTTTAATGTGCCTTCCCAGGGCTTGGTGCTTGAACCACACAACTTCCGGGCTTGAGGAAAATCCTGAGGTAGAAGGCTGTGATGTCCAGGGGTACACATCTTCTTCCTTTTACCACATGGTGATCAGTATACTGAATTTTCTTCATCTGCCACACTCAAGTGATTCCCAGTGCATAAATGAAAACTCTGGAGTGGAAATAACCAGGAAAGTGGTCTGTGTGATGCATGAGTTTGCAGACTGGAATTCTATTCTCTCGGAGCTGTTGGAGATCTTCCATGTTAAATATGTACCTGTGAAGACTCTGCAGGGACTTTGGCATAAGGTGTTACCCTTCATGTCACCTTCTGGGAATCAAGTCAATGGCAGCATCCCAGAACTCTGTCCTATTGGTACCATTAAGCAAAGTGCTTTGCAAGTCATAGAAAAGCTAAAATATGCAAATTTTACAAACTTTCTACTTCATGAAAACATTCTGGACAGGCTAGATAACTTATACAAGATCCTTAACATTACTGAAGTCACAGATACATCTGTCCAAAAAAATGTTTACTTAAATTTGGAGAGGATCTTCAAATTGATTTCTGCTTTTTGGAGTTTAAGGAACAGTACTCACTATCTACTATCACCAATTACAAACTTTCTGAATATAAATCATACAGATAGGAGCCCAAACTCATTGTTAAATTTAATTAAAACCGATAAAGCAATTTACAACTTTGAAGAACTGTGGTTTGACTTTAAACAAACCACCAAAGACCCTACCAGTAACTCAAGTCTAGGACAATTACTTTCTGATATTAGCAAAAAGATCAGAGGCATAATGGCTCTTCAAAACACAACTGTCCAACGTCCCCAGCTTCTGGAAATCCTGGATTCATCACCGTTGAAGATGTCAGAAATTACTGAAGGCTTTTTATTTCTCATAGAACATTGGCTCCGTGAGTATGAAAATGAAGATTACTTCAGGTTGATACAAAGACTACTTGATGCCATGACTAGTGGGAATTCAACTGATGTAACTATGCTGGCCAGGGATCTTGCTACATATTTGGGCTATCTCAGAAACAGTACTAAAGAAGGCAGTTTTGATGTTGGTGTTCTCACTCATATACTAAATCAAGAGCAACTAACTAACTTCGCAACTCTTCAGTTACTTCTTGAAAGCATTGTGATGAATTTAGTTAGTAACTTCGCTGAACATTCTCAGGAAACCCCTCTGAGTTTCAGTGGCACCGACCTTCAAATAATGGATTTCATTACTCTCATCTTGAATCACACACAGTCCAAAAATGGTGGGGAAACTGCAGGGAGCACAGAGAGTTTCCTGAAGCAGCTTTTGGAGACATTCTTCTTCTCTTTGCTAAATGGAATGCCTGAAAATAAAATATCACTTCTGCTAAAAGACCTCCATAGAGGTTTCATTGCAGAGATGAGGTGAGTGCATTTTAGTTTCATATAGTCATCCTGGTAGTGAATCCCAGCTGGCTCACTTTCTGGAGTAGAGAGATGCCTATCATAGCTCCTGTACCTGAATTTGGAATGGCCTTTGAAGTGAGTTTTTGTCACAATGAGCATTTTATGATTGCAATAAGGTAACACAATTTCAATTTCCACTTAACCTGTAAACATTCAAACCCAGCCTCTGTTCATCACTTGTGTATTGCTTGTTCAATTCAGATCATCAAGACAAGAAATTCTTCCCTACATAGAGTAAAAAAATTTATTTTGAATGGATTTACATGTACATTTTGGATGGTCACTCTTTCAACTATGGTATTATCTATTTCATCACAAATACAAGACTGAATACAAGCCTAATGTTTGTATATGGAACCATTAAAATAATCATATTATTTTTATTCAAAATCTTCTAAAATATCTAATGTTACCAGTGAATGTTCTAGAGAGAAATTCCTATTTACTCTATGTTGTATTACTGGGGAGACACCCAGGAAGCAAGCAGTACAGCAAACCGCTGTGCACGAAGTTGATTCCTGTGGCTTTGGAGACTAGATACGCACATCCAACCTTAGAGGGGCAGGGCACAGGAAGGGATAAACAGAGTAGCAGGGATGCCAGTTCTGCCATGAGCTAAAGTTTGTAGCCCAGTTAACAACTGGGGGTCACAGAGCCAAAGCTGACTGCCTAGTTCCTATTGGGGTCTCTAAGTCAGGGGGTCTCAGAGACTCTTATACAGCCTTCTAACCCCTTCTAGACGACTGGCTGGCTTTTTAAAGACAGCTTGCCTTCCGAATATCTGAAGTTAACTCTTTGGGTACTTTAAACACTTACTTGCATTAGAGCCCCTCTCTGCAGGATCTTAGTTTAGTTTTGGCATCTGTAGCTGGGAGGAGTCATGTTTGTGTTACAAAATGGCCACTACCTCTCATCCAGTGCCTTCAAGGGACTCCTCCCTGAAGTTTGCCCAGCTCAGACACTTGGAGTAAAGAGCATGTTGAAGTTATGGTCAGCTTCGCCAAGGAGACACATCACAGGCATCACAGATTGGCCAAACCATCTGCTAGTACTTTTAATATTCAGAACAATATATAAATACACTTTCCACTTTTTCAGATGATAACTGCTTATCAAGAATAATTTTCTAGGGAGACTGCTATTTCTCACCTTCCTGTTATTCCCCACTCCCCCAATAAACCCCTTCTTTCTCCCAAGTCCCCTTCCTTTTATACCTTTAGTGTGTTTGTGACCTGCTGTTCATCTGGGATTGGTGACATGAGCATGGATGGCAATTACTGACAAATGAAACTCTTTTGTATTGTATAGAACATAGCATATACACAACATCAATTTTAAAATTTTTTGGGGGGGTTAGCTTAATTTTCACTTTGATCAGAATGTGAGGCTCCCTGTGGCTCTACAGCCTTGTCATGCCTGGTACTGTTCATGTGAACTGGGAACCTAGTAAGACTATGACAGAATCTCATTATAGTTTTAAATGTCATTTTCTTAAAGTTGAGAACCCCAGAATGTATTGCTTGGTCCACTAAGATTTTTGTTCTTTGAGAATGGCCTTCTTTTTCTTGTTTAAGTTTTCTTTAGGTTTTGTGGGTCCTCTTAATTTGTGTTTGATAGTTTTTTATATTCTCTGTACTAGTTGTTTATCACTTAAATTGTGTGTGTGTGTGTGTGTGTGTGTGTGTGTGTGTATACTTCAATTATCTACTTGGTTCCTCCTCTTTGTTTGTGGTTGTAGTTTTTATTGTTGAAGAGCATTATAAAATTTAATGTAGCCAATTTACCTGTATTTTGCTTACTTATAAAACTTAATAATCTTATTATAGAAGTAAAAATGAGACCCACTCTATGGTCTTTCTAGATCTCATTTCTAAGAGCAAAAAGTGAGGCTTTTGAGACTGTTGCATGCAAAGGATTGCCATTTCTTCATTTATGACATTCCTGCACTGCCTTCGTTATTTCATGGCAAGGTGTCAGGATTCGTCTGGAGTTACTTTAGAATCTCCCTCGATATCACCATTCTACGATACTATTGTAAAACAAACAAGGTCCTGATGTCACCATGTTTTAATCTTCCCATTACTAATTTGTGAAACATGAAATTAAAAGTACATGTATTTTTTCAGTTTTGTTCCCAGAGATAAAATTTTTTTTCTTTTCTTTTTTTTTAATTTTTTAAAAATTTATTTTATATAACAAAGTCCAATGAAATGAAAACAAACATTTATACACAATATTTGGGAATTTGGGCGTTGTTCTTTCCAAACTACTTCCTGCTGGTAAGGGGCGCTGTCATGGGGGATTCGAAGAAGATTCAGAAATCCTGGCTGTAGTCTGTAAGGCTGCTTTGTCCAGCTGTTTTGAATGTAGGATCACCTCATACTCTATTTCACGCGTTCTGGCATGATCAAACCACATTAGTCTGGAAGGAATCCACATCTTTTCATTTTCTGTGGAAACAAAAATAGAAATCCTTTTCCCCAGTAACTTGTCCTTGAACTTAGATTTTGGAGTCAAAGCATTTTTTTTTAATTTAATTTATTACTTTACATGTTGATCAGAGATAAAATTCTTAAAATTCTGAAACAGGATCCATTCCTTACCTGGATGAATGAGGACTCATTGATGAATATTTTCTCAAGTGTCTGGACTGTTTATTATCTGATTAAGAACTCATTTTCATTAGACAACAGAGAACTCTCTGGAGTCCTGAAAGGTTTATCTCACACCCATCCAAGGGAGCCCAGGATGAACACTGACACTGAAGACCACTTGGATTTCTTTACCGTAGTGACTCAGTTTCTCTCCCAGGTCAATAATTCTGAGGACCTCTCCAAATTCAACCAAAAATCTTAGGTCTGTTCACCACCTCGTAAGAGAAAGTTCTGCAGAAACGGCTAATATCAGGGATATTCTCTTACACTCACCTACTCAGGCCTGCCACTCTTCCTTTCCTGTGCTCCAACACACTGTAGTTGCGAAGCTAAATGACTTGTTTCTGTTGTAAATCGTTCATTTCCCTCTAAGAAACAAAGACACACCAGAACCAACTATGAGGTTATTTGGTGCCATTTCCCGAGTTGGTGCAGAAAGTCATGTCCTGGAGCCTGCCTTAGAAATATCTAGAGCTCTGACCATGCTGGTGAATAACACTGCTGAACTTGGTAGTGTTGCCTCTTCAGTGGATTCCATGGTGAGACTTCTCAATCTAGCCAAAAAAGTTTCAAGAAAGATGGCTATGATGTTGGGAGCTCTCTCCATCTCTAGTACAAAGGACTCTGGGAAATTCTTTGACACATTGTATTCCATCATGCTACAAAGTTTTCAACCCAATGTGAAGCAAATAATTGCTTTGAAAAACGTAGAATCTTTCATTTTTGAAAAGACAAAGGATTTGTTGGTGCCATTTCTTGACCTGGCCTTCTGGATGACTGGAGTCACACCTAATATATCACAGGACTATGGTATTTTTTAACATGTCATCTAATATACTTTCATACATCAACCAATCCAAAGACTTTTCTGAGATTTTGGAAGAAATGACTGAAAATTTAATTTCTACAAAAATTGGTTTGAGAGATTTGGAGCATCTTGTGGTGGTGATTAAAAACAGAACTCAAAATTTTTCTACAGATGCTGCTAACTTATGGGGAGAGATTCTAGATTGCTTAGTTCCTATTAGTAACATCACTGACCAACTGGACTTCTTAAAGTTTTATAAGCTTTCTTCTACCAGTCGTCCTCAGGCCCTAAGTCACGAGGGTAGTCATGAAGTAATCCAATTTTTGGATGGAATGTTAACAGATAACATCACAGAAAGAGAGACTTTCTTGAAAATGGTGATTGATCTCACCTTACAAGCTCTTTGGAATGGCTTAAACGAAGATAACTGGGATATTTTTAATCTCCTGTTGGCATTTGCCCAACACCCAAATGACCTTTTAAAAACCATAGAATCGTTGGGAGTAACAGTGACTATGGAGATGATTTAAACCAAGAGTTATTTTCCAATTTGTCATTGCTTCAGAACACCACTCACTATATCAGCTTGCAAAGACAGTCCTGATTGTTCTCAGCAGACTGGTCCCCTGGACTGAAGGGCTGCCTCCAAACAATGCTCAGTGGATACATTTCACAAGAACTTTGCTTCACCCAGATAGCAACAGCTTTCCTATTTCAGCCACTGGTCAGAATGTTACATCAACAAAGGGGGGCTCTGAACCAATGTCATACTTCCAGAAATTTCTGAAGGCATTATTTGTATCCATTAGACACTGGCAGAGAGTCCCACAAGCTGATCAAAGGTATTCTAATTCCTATTTTGCTTAATTTATCCCTTACTGTAGAAATCTCGAAGGACTCACATCAAACCAGAGTAAACAGACTTTTCTCAATGTCAGCGTCCATCACTCTCTAAAGCCAGCATCCATTCATACAGAATGGTTCAAGCTAACTATTTTCACAATTTGCCTCATTATTTGGCATCCAAGTATGATTTGGATTAATTTTTGAAAATTTCCAAAAGTAAAAGCCTTATACTCTGTCCACTTCAGTTACGAGATTGTGCTTGCAGCTGTAACTAACCATGGCATAAAAACAAGGAGCTAAGGACTCCTGCCCTCCAGAAACTCAACTCTGAATAAAGTTTGCCTCTAAGCCCTCCTATTCCAAAATGCTAGGTTAAAAGACTGGCATTGAACTCAACAATCCTGCCGCAGCCTCCAAAGTGCTAGGATTACACGTATGTGCTACCAAAACCTGATGGAAACTTCAAACTTGTTCTTAAACGCTCCAGTGTTGCTAAATCCATGTCTGGCATTAGCCTGCTGTCTTGGGCTGGAGGAGTTTTGCTTTTGGTGGACAGAACCCCAGGGTGCTTTCCCTGCCTCAGCTGTGGTTCGTGAATGTGGCAAGGCTCGCTATCCTGTGGTCCTTGCCTATTCACTTTTCTCTTGGCCCCATGTGACACCTTAGGGATGTTGTGCAAACACTTTCTCATTCCCCACCAGACGGGCTGACCTACTCCCTGTCAGTTCTGTTGCCACAGAACTGGGAAGGATGTCCTTGTTTGGTGGAACAGATGTCTCATTATTTCAAAATTTAAATGCTGGCTTCCAAAGCCTCCTGTTTTATCTCCTTGTTGTCTTTGGCCCTTAAACTATAGTGCTCAAGGGTAGTGTTCTTATTCTGCTTGAGATTTGCTTTTGCAAGCCTGTCCACCTCTCTTCTCTAATCTCAGCTTTCACTTGAGATTTTCAGGTCTCTACAGATGAAATTTCCACCATATATCTATATATCTTCCTTTTTTCCTCTCTCCCTCCTTCCCTCTCTCTCTCCTTCCCTCTCCCCTTATATAGACTCTTGCTATGCAGCTCAGGCTAGCCATGATCTAGAGAGACAGCCTGCTCAGTGCTGAAAATGTAGGCGTGCACCTCAACACCCATCTAATGCAATAAATATGTTTAAAAAAATGACTATTTTAATTTTATGCTTATGGGGAGCAAAGTAATGCTTTGATGCATGTATTATATATAAACAATCAAGGCCTAGCCTCCAAATATTGAAACATAGTTTTACTAGCTGTTTTGAGGTTTACAGGGTGTAACTGTTAACTGTATCCATCTCATTATGCCATAGAACACAACACTGTTTGCTCCTGGGACTTGTTCTTCTCCCTAATCATCACCCCAGCCACTAGAAGCCACCATTCTACCCTCAACTTCCATGAAATCAGCTGCTTTAGATTCCATATGAGTGATGATATGATATTTGTCGTTTTGTCCCTGACTTATTTCACTTAACGCTACCACCACCAACTTAATCTGCTATGTACGCTGTTACTAAGAGCAGGCTTTATCCTTTCAATGGTTGTCATCATGTTATAACCCCTCCAATGCCCAACTCTTGTATCTCAAGAGAACTGGAGCAAGAAGAGAAAGCAGACATCAAGTTTATAAGCAGCAACGATCAAACTGCAGTAGGAAGCAGAAAGTTTTCGGGAGGTCCAGGCTAGTGGCCTGCACTTTTCTTTTGTTTGTGCTAAATAAACAGGGTAGAGTGAGGAGACAGTTCTCACATGTGACTTAACCTGCCTGGCAGCCATTAACACCATAATCTGCTTTTCCTAAGTGTTTTGGAGATGTGTCAAGTTTTCCGGCAGCTGGAGAAGCCCTCGGAAGCTGTGGAGATGCTGCACAGAGTGGAGATGATGGCGCTGCATGTACTCATCATCTTTGCAGGTGGGCTGCTTATGTAAGAAGCACTCATAATTGCCCCGGCCCAGTTATCACAGCTTGGCTGTCGGCAAGATGCATAGATTGTCTCTGACTTTCTTTTAAAACAAAGCATGGGTTTCCCAGCCTAAGCTATTAGGCCCAGGGTGGTCTGGCTCACCCTTCCTCACCTCAGTGGCCCCTGCTGTAGCCAAGCTGGATAGTTCCCTTCCCCCAGCCAAACTTGCACTCTTTGGTCCTCTGCTTCCCAAATGCTGGGATTACAGTTTTATAAATGGTGCTCAGCCCATGTGTTCTGTTGTGAATGTGCTTTCCCTGGTTGTGAGGGTTGTGTAAACAGAACCTGCAATGCAGGTTGGGTATTCTTTCATTGAATAAGTGAATGCCTGAATAGAAGCCAGGAGCGCTCAGACACTCATGTTGCCTTCCATGAAATTCCTAAGTGTGCAATCTGTTTGTGTGGGGTGTTGCTGTCCGTGAGTCCTCCTAAACATTTGCTCTGTGTGGTAATACTTAGCTTAAGCAACACTGGAAGGGTCATCTGTACACTCTGGACTCTTATTTGGTGTAAGTGAACAGGCTGTGGGGTTGGGGAGGACATCCCTAAGAGGAATCAAGCTTGCCCAAGAAGGGGGAATAAGAATACACACAAAAGTCTACCATCAGAGAGGAGGGGTCACTAGCCTCAGAGTAGGCCCATTGGCCTATGTGGTGGCTGTGGCTGGGATTGAGGTATGTGGAATAGCGTGTGTCTGCAAATGGTAGGAAGGGGGAAATGAGACTCAGGCAGGAACTAGCCTTCTTTTTTTTCTGTTATTTTTTTAAATTTATTTTTCTTATTTTACATATTGATCCCAGTTCCCTCTCCGTCTCTCCCTCTCTTCCACCCTCCCATGTCCCCTGACCACTCTCCCATCCCATTCCCCCACCCCCACCCCCCACTCTACATGTAGGGTGATGCCTTCCTGGAGGGGCCATCTAAATTTGTCAAGTCATTCTGAGTAGGGACTAGGCCCTCCCTCCTGCCTCTAGGTTAAGGGAGTATCCCTCCATGGGGAATGTGCTCCCCAAGTTCTTTTGTGCACCAGGGATACATCCTGGTTCCACTGTCAGAGCTCCCTTAGACTGCTCAGTCCTTCTGGCTGAGACCCATATTCAGGGGGTCTGAGTCAGTGCCATGTTGGATTCCCAGCTATCAGTCTGGGGGCCCATTAACTCCTCCTTGTTCAGGTCAGCTGTCTCTGTGGATTTCTGTAGCCTGGTCTTGTCCTCCCTCTCTGCATCTGGATTCCAGTTCAGCTCAGTGTTTAGCTGTGGGTGTCTGCTTCTGTTTCCATCAGCTACTAGATGAGGGCTCTGTGATGCTGGTTAAGTTAGTCATCATTCTCATTATCAGGAAAGGGCACTTAAGGTAGCCTTTCCACGGTTGCTCAAATCGTTAGTTGGGGTCAGTCTTGTAGGTCTGTGGACATTTCTCTAGAGTCAGTTTTCTCTGGAAACCTATAATGGCTCCCCCTTTTATGTACCTCTCTCTCTCTCTCTCTCTCTCTCTCTCTCTCTCTCTCTATCCCTTCTCCCCTCTCTCTTTCTCTCATCTATTCTTCCCCTGACTCAGTCTTCCTAGTCCCACGTGCTTTCCTCTCCTCCCCTTCTCTTTCTCCTAGCTCCCTCTCCACTCACTGAGGAACTAGCTTTCTAATGTGACTTTTGATCACTAATTGATCAGTGATGTTAGCTGGAGGAGGATACTGAAGGTGAGAATGAAGGACAGAAGAGAGAAGACCATGGGGGAATAAACCCCAAGTAGAGGCATGCCAGCTGAAACCTGAAGGTTGAAAGGATGTGTTAGGAGTAGGTTTTTCTGCCCACCGCTTGTCTTGTCCCGCTGCCACGCCAGCCCCAAATAACACACCGAGACTCTGTATTTGTTATAATGCTGTTGGCCAGTTACTAGTTTCTTATCGGCTAGCTCTGTCTTAAGTATTAACCCATTTCTGTTAATCTATGTATTTCCATGTGGTCTCATCTTTACAGAGAGCCGGCTGGCATCCTGCTCTCTCCAGACTCTCCATCTTGACTCCTCCTTACTACTTCCTCTTTCCTCCTTGCCCCCTAGTCACACCCATCTTGCTTTCCTGTTGGCCAACAGTGCTTTATTCATTAACCAGTATGAGAAACATATTTACAGAATGACATCTCTCATCAGGATGCATCTATACGTTAACTGATGTGTTGCTCGGTGTCTAGAAGAACCCTGACATAGGCACAAAAGACATCAACTAATGTTTCTAAAAGGACTGAGTGGATTGTTGAGTGAGTGCTGGCTGTGGGATGGGCACACTGGGGTCAGGCTATTTCACTCATAAGTAATGGTAATATAGTTCCATGTGCCACAAGGCATTATTGGCCAGAGTGTCTGCAGGTACAGAACTAAACTTGGCTTTGCTCAGTGACACCATGGCAACTGGTCTACTGGGAGGAGAGAGAGAGAGAGAGCCTGAGATCAAATTGGTTGAGTTCAGGGCTTCATACTAGCTAACAGACACAGGATCTCTTTGAGCCTCAAAGAGGGTAAACTAACATCTATTTCAAAGGGTAGCTGAGAGGACTAAATGAGAGAAGAGTGTAAACACATGTGATCTCCTTGGGGCCTTGCTGGGGACATGCATGTGGTGCACACTACTGGTTTTTCATCCCTGGTTGTAGGGCAAGCTGAGGGTGTGTCTCCTTGCCCAATGCTGGGAAAGGCAGCCCCCAGGCTACCGAGAGCTGGCTCTCAGGAGAGATGGGTCAGATGAGCTCTGGTCTACTCACTGCCCTCCTTGTAATAGGAGTGTTTTTTTTTTTTTGTTGTTGTTGTTGTTTTTTTTTGTTTTTTTTTTTTTTGAACACAGGATTGAACCTTTTGGATTGAAACATAAAAAAGTGAGGAACAGGGGCCAAAGTGAATGCAGATGATGCAATCAAGGCCTGAAAACTGTTGCACAGGGGAGCTCTATGGCTCTATATCTCTATCTATAGACCTACATTTTTATTTCATTCTGGAGATGCCTATAAACATGGTATTTGCTGTATTGCCAAACACCAAATATTACATGTGGAAGCACACAACATGCTGCTCAATAAAATCTCCCCATGCGGAAGCATGCTTGGGGACATTCAATTATATCTCTTTCTGTGCTTTTTTCTGGTGTATAAAATTCAGCCATGTTTGAAGGTGCAATTATTTTGACATTTCACAGTTGGGTAAAGTAATGAATTTTCAATGAATGGAAACCCTTATTGGTACCTGGATTTCCATGTATCTGTATCACAGATTCTAAACTAATATAGCACATCAAGTGATATTAGAAAATCAATTTTTAGTTTTTATATTTCACTCAGGAGTGGCTGTTGTTGAAAGCGCTGCCTCACTTTCCTCATTAGAGCAGACCCTGTTCTGTGAGTAGGAGGCTGGGTGGAACCAGGAGTTCTCAGTGAGGAAAATCAGAGGTGCAGTGGACCTGGACCAGGCAGCGAGATCTTCCATCACAGAGGAGCCCAGCTGCTGGAGTTGTTAATGTCTTTGTTGACACTGAGTTAACTTCAGCATCACTTTTCCATTCCTTCTGGTGTTAAATATGACAGCAGTGATCATGTCAGAGGCTGGTGCTAAGTTCAGGGAAGAGGAAAAAATTGTCGCCCGGCATCCACTTTAATGTTCTCATATCACAAATTAGTGAGCTGAGGAAGAGAGAGCATGAGTCATGCTTGGGAAGGAGAGCTCAAGGCCAGGGATGGAGAGAAGGCCGAGTGGGTAGTGCTTGCTGTGTAAGCATGAGGACCTATGTTCAGATCTCCAGCACTTAAGTAAAAAGTGGTTGTGGTGGAGGGTGCTTGTAGTCCTAGAGTTGGGGAGGGGGCAGCCACAGGTAGATCTCCAGAGCTTGCTGGGAATAGCTCTACTCAGTTAGCTCTACATTCAGTGAAAGCCATTGTCTCAGAGGGGGGAAAACATGGAGAAGGCACTGAAAAAGACACCACCTGCCTTCCATATGCACCAACATACATCACACACACACACACACACACACACACACACACACACACACACACACACACCCTCGCACATGCACATGTACCTCTCCAGCTAAGGAGATGGGTAGAGATTATAGGGCTTGGGGAACAATGTGAAGATCTATAGGAAGGTGGCAGACCTGGAAAGACAAGCAGATATCTAATGTGTCTACAAGGTCAGAAGAAGTCAAGCTCAGGAGAGAGGCTCTGAAAAAGCAAAGTGAGGTAGAGGAAGAGGGTACCCTGGAGGGAATAGGGTTCAGGTGCAAGCTGAGTTGTTCCTAGTGTCAAGACTGTTAGATATTCTTGTGGTGATGCTTTGACGGTCTGATGTCCAATGGGGGGCAGAGAGAGGCCAAATGACAAGAAGCCTGGCACCCCTCCTCATAAGAGCACTATTGTGATCTAACTTTGAAGAAATACAGGGCAAGATCGCCCTTTCCTTCCCCTCCCTCTTTTTATTTTCTTTCTTTGATGGGGAGACAATGTCTCCTTATGTCATTAGGATGGTGGTAAATTTGTGATCTTCCTGCCTCAGCATCCTAAATGCTGGGATTACAGGGTATTCCACCTTGCTGGGATAGAGTGGCACCTCTTCAATTTGGATTTTTTCTCTTGGTATACTGCCAAGACTAAGACTAGCCTGTCTGTCTGTATCATCTATCTATCTATCTATCTATCTATCTATCTATCTATCTATCTATCATTATTATTTATTTTATGGACTTTTGCTACTTTAAGTATTAACAAGTTTAGTTACTCATAAAAATATACTTTGTTTTCTATAGTGACTCAGCACCTAGAAGGTACTTAGCTATGTTCTAAATGACAAGATTATCTGAAAGCGGAGGTGATACTCCGACACTGGGAGTGTGTGCAGTGAGCTGAGCTCAGAGGGTCCTAGACAGGCAGAGAAGGGAACAGAAGGGAGGGGGAGAAGAGGAGAGGAGAAAGAAAGAGAATGGAGGGGAGGGGAGGAGAGGTGAGGGGAAGGAATATGATGGGAAAAGATGGGAAGGGAAGGCTATGGCTGGGCTGGTTGAGGTTGAGTTCTGAGAGGTCTATTTAGAGAGGAGGCAGAAGTCCACAGCAGCAGGCACAGTGTGGGGATTAGGGCACAAGGCATACAAATTATGAGTGATCAGGAGGTTGACGTGGCCAGTAGCTAGAGAAGAACCTGGGGTACAGCATGGAACTTTCCAGATTTCTGTAAATGACCAGCTCTTTTTGATCTCAAGGCAGATGAGAGATGTCATGGGTAGGGAGGATATGGCCAGTACCTGCCAGGAGTCTCCTAACCTTAAGGGTGTGATTAGATAGGGTGCTGGACAGAGACCCAGTATCTAGAGTTTTAGGAAGTAGAATGGAGGCATGAAGAATGAGTCAAGTGAACACCAAGGATGTTTCCAGATCTGACAGGAGAGGTGTGGAGGATGGGGAAGCTGACAAATATAATTTATACTCCAAGAGCATTCTTTTTTTAAAAATAGTTTTTTATTTAAAAAACTCTTTTCTCATTTTACATACCTATCCCAGTTCCCACTCCCTCCCCTCTACCCCAACCCCATCCCCTACTCAGAGAGGGTGAAGCTTCTCATGCAGAGTCAATGAAGTCTGGCACATCTCTTTAAGTCAGCTTCATATCTAGGCTGAACAAGGTTTACATCTAAAAAGAATGGGCTTCAAACCATCAGTTAAAACACTAGGGATAAATCCTGGTCCAGTGGCCTCAGAGACTCTCCAAGCTACACAACCATTTATTAGCTATTTGAGAGTTTCCAACTCTTCTAAAATCCACCCCAATTTCCTACTCACTCAACTTTGTGTTCACTTTTGTAACCCCTTTAAGATGAATTTGTGTTGCCCAAATATTCTCAGTGTATGATTGAGCACCAGAGTATGATTGACTTATGATGGGGTACTTCTGGTTTGGTTGGTTATTTTTTCAAGACAAGGCCTTTCTATGAAACTGGACCAACAAGAGCATTCTAAGAATAAGAGAGTGAAGCGATTATAACCATGCTAGTATAATGGGCTAGAAATCTATGCAAACCAGAGTGAACGGCTATCCTTCCCAGAGAGCTTGTGAGAAGTCAGCTCAGTGAATAAGAATTCCACTTACAGGGACATAGGAAAAGAGAAAGCGTTGGAGAGGCAGGGGTGGCAAATTGATTCTTATTCAATTAATTTAGTTCAGACAAGTCTTTATTTATATTTTAGACTTAAAAAGCATAGCATTAATGCATAAAGAGGATTTAGTATTTATATATAATGGTATAGAATTTAGCCCTTAAAAGAATGGGTGCCATCCTAGAGCCTTCATCCAATAGCTGATGGAAGCATATGCAGACACCCACAGCTAAACACTGAGCCAAACTCCTGGAATCCAGTTACAGAGAGGTAGGAGCAATGAGCAAAGGGGTCAAGACCAGGCTGGAGAAACCCACAGAAACAGCTGACCTGAACAAGAGCAAGCGCAAGCTCATGAACCCCAGTCTGATAGCTGTGAAACCAGCATAGGACTGACCTAGACACCCTGAACGTGGGTGTTAGGAGGACTGGGCAGTCCATGGGGCCTCTGGTAGTGGATCAGTATTTATCCCTAGTATACGAATGGACTTGGGAGCCCATTCCATATAGAGGGATACTGTCTCAGCCTAGACACATGGGGGAGAGCCTAGGCCCTGCTCCAAATGATATCACAGACTTTGAAGATCCCCCATGGAAGGAAGCCCTCACTGTCCCTGGGTAGCAGAAAGGGGATGGGATGGGAGTTGGGGGACAGGAGAAGAAGGGAGGGTGAGGGAACTGGGATTGACATGTAAATGAAACTTGTTTCAAAGTTAAATAAAAAATATTATCATAAAAAATAATGGGTTTCCGTCATGGATGAAACTGCTAGACATTCTGTTAAATGAAGAAGCCAGGCATTGAAAGCTAAACACACTCATGTATGTGGAAGCTAAATGTTGACTTAGTGAAATGGGCAGTAGAATGATAGGGACCAGAGGTTACAGAGTCAGGATGTCTGTCAGGGACAGAGATGCAGTTGGATACTAGGAACCACTTATAATATTCTACAGCCCAAGGGTGAAACTATGTATATTCCAGAAGGCTACGACAGTCAGCTGGGTGTTTCAGAACAGCTATGTGAGAGATCTCTGGACCAAGAAACAATAAATACCCAAGGTAATAGCTAGTGATGTCTTAGTTGCTTTTCTATTGCTGTGATAAGACACCATGGCCAAGGTGACTTATAGAAAGAAGAAAGGATATTTGGGGCTTACATTTTCAGAGGGCTAAAGTTCATGATCATCACGGCAGGTCACATGACAGCAGGCAGGAATGGCATTGGAGTAGTAGCTGAGCACTCACATCTTAAGACACAACTACAAAGCGGGGAAAGCTAACTGGGAGCTCTATAGACTTTTGAGCCTTAAAGTCAAGCCCCAGTGACTCACCTTCCCCAAAGGGGCCACATCTTCTAACCCTTCCCAAACAGTTACACTGAGTGGGGGCTAAGCATTCCAACATTGACTTTATAGGGCAATTCCCATTTGAAGGGCCACACCCAATGATCTTGATTTAGTTATTTTACAGTGTCTGGATGAGTGTAAAGAAAGGCAGTGTATTCTATTAAGAGGGCAGTTACTTCATGTACATTAAAAACCAAAATGTTTTAAAAGGTACAGTTTCACCTTTATCTGCCTGGTGATGGTGATGATGATGATTTAAGAAATATTTAGGAATTTGGATCATTTTGAATCTTTGAAGAACAATTTTCTGAGATTGGGCCGGTAGAGAGAACTGTTTATTAACTTAGTCTGTTTCTTCTGGCAGAAAGCCCGTCCCTGACTAAGGACGTTCTGTGTGCTGTGCTGAGTTGTAAGGCAGATGGGATGAGGCACCTGATCTTATCTGCTGTGCAAGGAGTCACTTTGGCACATCTCCACTACCAGGTTTGTCATCTTTGATGTTTCAAAGCATTGTGTGTTCATCAAAGTTAGTCCAGGCAAGGCAGCAGTGTTGGCTCAGACAAGGTAGTAGGGTTACTCTATAGTTACAGCTTGGTCCTGAGAACCAGAGACTGCTGTGTGGTCACAATGGGAATGAGCCGTGCAGAACTGGTAGCATGTAAAGCTTGGCTGGTACTCAGCTATGAGAGTTGCTTGTTAAAGTCTTAGGGATTTTACAAATGGTGGTTCATCATTTGCATCATTAAAACTCAAACTATAGACACATATCTAAGAGCAAAATCAACAAGTTATGTGACACATAACTTCCTAGTTTTTGATATTCTACTGCTGCTGTCCTGAGATCATTTGCATTCATGTCATCTGCATGACAATGGTACTCTGGGCTATATATGTGCTACTGAGCATAGCTTTATAGCTCTGTGTTCAGTAACATCATGCCTGCAGGAAGTGGGGAGTTTACACCAGGGGAATTGGCAAGTGCCCTTAAACAATTGTTTGTCCATCCAATCATCTGCCTATCTATCTTTCTGTCTGTCTGCCTGCCTTCCTACACTCCCTCCCTCACTTTTTCTCTTCTTTCTTTCTTCTTTCCTTCCTTCCTTTCTCTCTCTTTCTTTTTCCTATATCTTGATCTATTCATCCATCTCATCTATTATCTGTCTGCCTATCCATCCATCCATCTGTTCATCTGTCCATCTGTTCATCCACCCACCTACCGTTCACTTATCCAACAGTTTATTGTCTATCAGTTTTCTATCATCTATGTTTTAGAAAGATAACTTTTATTTCTTTATTTTTTATTAGCACATATTAATTATTCATAACAATAAATTTAATTATGACATTTATATAATATACATTATCATATTCACCCCTTATCTTCTCTTGACTCCGTCCTACTCCCACTGCAAATTATTTATTTATGTAGTATATTTTGACCATATTCTTTTCCCTCCCCTAATTCCTTCCAGATCCTTCCCTCCTTTTTACCCAACCAACTTCATGTTCTTATTCTCTCTTACATCACCATCACACCTTTCAAAATGAAAATCTAAACAAATGAAAAGCCCAATAACACAAAAATATCCAAACAAAACAATACAATATAAAAGTCACAAAACCTAAAACCCAGAGTCCTTTTTGTGTTGGTCATCTATTCCTGGGCATAGGTCCTACCATTGGGTCTTGTTGATATATTTTTATTCAGTGGTATTTTATTGGAGAAAACGGATTTTCTTTTCCCAGCAGGTATCAGTTTCAAATAGCTTATTGGTTAGGGGTGGGGCTTTATGTATACTTCTCAGTACTGGAATTTTGATTGGTTTGATTTTGTGCCCTCTATAGTCTGAAAATTCCTAAGACAACATATTCCAAAATCTAAAACTTTGGGTACCAACATGACATAAAAAATACACACATTACATGCCATAGTCAAAGTACAGGTACACTAACATATCCTATGGGATGCCTTTAGACTATGTGCATAGAATACAGTTAGAGTAAGTTCCTAGCCTTAATGTACCTCATAATGGATATTCCAGTATCCAGAAAGACCAGAACTGGAAAAACTTCTGGCCATAAGCATTTTATTTAAATAAGGCAAATTCAGCTTCATTGAATATAGGAAACCCCCCAAAACCTCACTTTTTTTGAATGCTAATAAAATGGACAACAGTCCAGATTTTGGAACAATTGACTCCAATGCATCATTCGTAGCTCAAATCAGCATGTATGTGTTAGTGCTTCTGGCTGGATGAAGAGCAGAAACCCCTGCTTTGATGATGAAAAAGCAATTGCTCATGTCAGGATGGAAAACATGTCTTAGTTTCTTTTTCTGTTGTTGTGATAAACAGCATGACCAAAACCAATGTAGGGGAGGAAACGGTCTGTTTGGCTTACAGGTTATAGCCCATCATCAGAGGAAACCAAGGCAAGAACTTGAAACAGAAATCATGTGGTGAACTTGCTTCTTTCCCTGCTTCAGCTTGTGTTCAGCTAGCATTCTTATGCAGCCTTGACCTAGGATGGTACCACCCTTAATATGCTGAGCCATCTATGTCAATTAGCAGTGAAGAAAATGCTCCAGAGACATGGCCTCGGGCCAGCCTGGTGGAAACAATTCCTCAGTTGTGGTTCTCTCTCTCTCTCTCTCTCTCTCTCTCTCTCTCTCTCTCTCTCTCTCCCCTTTTTTTTGGTTACAGAGATTATTCTTATTTATTTATTTATTTATTTATTTATTTATTTATTTTTATATAACCAAGTCCATTTAAATGAAAACAAACATTTATAGACAATATTTGGGAATTTGGGCATCGTTCTTTCCAAACTACTTCCTGCTGGTAAGGGGCGCTGTCATGGGGGATTCTAAGAAGATGCAGAAATCCTGACTGTAGTCTGTAAGGCTGCTTTGTCCAGCTGTTTTGAATGTAGGATCACCTGGTACTATGTTTCAGGCGGTCTGGCTTGATCAAACCACATTAGTCTGGAAGGAAAGTTGTGGTTCTCTTATGGTAGGAATATCAAGTTGACAGCTTTGACATCAGTACCAAGAAGATCTGTGGTCTGAGGGTATTTAGTGTGAGTCCTTCAGAAATGTAAATCATTTCCAGGTGATGTCATGGGGTGTCTCTGTGTCTTGCTGAGGTAGGCAAAGTTTGATGGTACATTTAACTGTTTGATGTTTAAGTATTCTATTGTGTAGTTTGGTTAGTACCAGAATGGGGCTCTACTCACCAATCCAGATGAAGAGTGTTCTGACTGCCAACTCCTTATTCTCGTCGACATAGTGTTCCTAGCAACAGAAAGGAACTGTCTTGGATTCAGTAAAACATGAAATTAAGTTTTAAAAGACATCACTGCCCACAGAATGGGCTGGCATGTGAGCGGATGCTCATTGTATCCAATGTTCTTGTCTCAGCGTGCTATGAATGCTGTGAGCAGAGACTCTATGGGGGAAGAAGGCATCAGATCTGTGAAGTGTTTAGGTGAGGGCCTCATTCTCAGGAAGAGGAGAAAGCACAGCATGTGGTTAACTTACTGGAGTTATCATTTCTTCTAGGTTCATATATGTTATGCGATGGCATGATTCTTTATTTTACACGGCTGAATAATATTTTATAGTACATGTAGGACTTTTTGTTTTCATCAGTTCATTGGGCCTTGAACAACAATTCCATGTGTTGTTCATTGTCAATTATACAGCAGTGAGCATGAGAATACAGGCGTGTCTCACACCTTTCCTTTCCATTAGTTGCAGACTCAAGAGTGGTGTTTGGGGATCATATAGTAACTCATATGTTATCGTTTTTAATGGCAGGGCTACTTTGCATACAAGGGGTCCCTTTTCTCCATGTCTTCATATAATCATTTCTTGTCTTTTAAACAATAGACAGCTTAGGAGATTTGAGGAGACAACCTCTCTTTATTTTCATTTCCATGATTGACAGTATAGATCTCATATATCCGCTCTCCGTGCTGGCTGTTCATACATGTTTACATGTTTCCAGGTCTGTGCTCTTTTTTTTTTTTAATGTTGACACTTCTTCATTTATCTTATTGAGTTGTGAATGACCCAGAGGAGCCAGAAACTGGGCTCTGGGAACCTAAGTTCCAGGTAACAGAGTGTGGCTTGCTTTCTGTCCCTCTCAGTGTTGCCCTGTTCTACTACTATGCATGCACAGAGGAAATGAGCCCATTCCCCGACACTTCAGGAAGCAACTGGAAGCCTGCATTTACCTGAGAACCAGCCTTAAGCTTGTGTGAATAAACACTGTAATCTCTGTCACTACTGTGTTTTTTAGGAAATTGGAAAGATATGGTCCTCACCGGATCAGCTGGACTGTGAACGTCTTAGCAGGAATCTGTTCAGTGCTTTGGAAGACCTCAAAAGCAGCTTGGAAAATGCTTCTAGCCAGGGCTGCATATGCCAGCCCCTGGTAGGAACAGTGCAACAGCACATGCACAGGTCTGTGTAACAGGCGAGTGTGCCCCCAGTATGCTCGCTCAGTCCTCAGTGAGGTGTGTGCTTAAGTTACTGATTCCATATAACGTTGGTACCACATTACTAGTCAGGACTTTCCATAAACACACTTCTGAATGTTAAAACACAACAGTGACTTCTGCTGTCAGGTGAACTTTATAACGAGCAAGACACTGGGTCAGATGTTATGATCCAAGATGACAGTACAGTATTAAACATAAAAAGGGGAGCAGTCAGTGTTTTCAAATTACTTCATATCTGATTAAAACTTCTCAGTGTGTTCTAGAAGTGTGAGCCTCAAGGAGAGGGTGAGGGGCTTTACATTGTTCAGGATACGTTGGCACAGAGAAGCAGCCATCTGCTGGTGGTTACACTAATTTCTCAGGCTCACTATAGTCTATTCTACCTATTTCCCATGTCTATAAGAACCCATTTATCATGCATTTATTGCCATCCCCCTGATTCATATGCTGGGCTGGCCTGAGTGAAGACATATTGGAACCCTGGTGTTAATGAAATTCACACAAAGATGGTATCAGAGCAGAGTATGTCCATTTATCACAAGGAACCTGCGTTATCTAGCCTGGCTCCTGGATCCAAGGCAGGGTTTTTCACTTCAGCTTTGCTTCTGCTGTTTTATCTTGTCTAAGTTTAATTTTCTGTCACTTTAGGTTGATCAAAAGTCTCAAGGAGACATGGATGGCAAAGATTCCTGTTTTGATGTTCCTTAGCAATTTCACAGTTACAGAGGGTATGTAGTTTCAAAACTTGCTTGATTAAAAATAAAATTTAATGTTTCAGCCCAACATTTTGTTTAAATAAAACAGAAAAAAAGGAAAGTTGTGGTATGCAGTTAAAAAGGAGGAGGACTTGAATTTGAGAGGGGCTGGGGGACAAAAGAGATTTAGGAGGGAGGGCTGGGAAGAGAAATGGTGTGATTATATTTCAATTTAAAGAAAGTAAAATGAAATTTAATGTTCAATTATAATATGTTAATATAAAACACACACACACACACACACACACACAGAGTTGTGCTATATGTCATCTAGAGCCAAAAACAACTAAACAGATTAGAACACGGCTAGTCATAGGAAGAAATTCCCTAGATCCCAAGGTCCCAATAGCCAGACAAAGGAATAAAAAGACATCTGGCGTTGTCTGGGTTTCTCACTGACCTTTTGTATTTCCACAAACCACTTGATCCTATGAGTCTCTGTCCCTTCCACACAGCTCGTAAAACTCACACAGCATCAATATGACAAGTGTGAAGAATTCTCACACATCCTTAGGTGATGATTTTCTTATTTAAGAAGGTGAAAGATTAGGTCCCTGTAGCATATGGTCACTTCATTCAGAAAGCTCTTTCTAAGGCAAGTCTCAAAGCATGCCAGACTCAGAGTCAACCACTGACTACAAGATATCACATAACCAGTAGTGATCTCAGATCCCCCTAGAAGAGTCAAACTTTAATTAGTATCTACTATAAGCTGGACACCCTGAGCAAAATCTGAAAATTTATTATAAATTTTCTTTGCCTTTTGTGTGTTCTTCAGATGTCAAAATAAAGGATTTGATGAAAAACATCACCAAATTAACTGAGGCCCTTCGCTCCTCCTTCCCCATCTCTGACGAGACCATCCACAGCATCTTAGAAGCCACCATTTCCCATTCAAAGGTACAGAGCTGCTTTTCATCAGGAAGAAACCCTCTCAGCTGCAGGCACCCTGACCACCTTTCTCTGCCTCCTCCTCCCTTTTCATAGCTGGGGGAATGGTTGTCTGCACAAGTGATGTAGCTGAAAGCAGATGGGATACACAAGAACAAGCAGGAACTGGAGGACGTCACCATCTTGTGACGTAGCCTGGTCCCATGCTCTTTATTTGGGGAGACAGAGAGGATGAGGTTTCTGGCAACATTTATTTTAGTGATTTCTAACCCTAACGCATGAAGTCCATCAAGTTTGCATATGGTTCCATGTGTGTCATAAATCTCAACTCCCCAAACAAAGCTAGTTAGAGATACATAATCTCCCATGGCGGAGAGTAACTGTGTACTCTGGTCATGTGGTATGGATATGACTCATAACAGATGAGCAGTGCCAGGCACAGACAAATGCCACCTGAATCTTTAGCTGATGGTTTTCTGAGATGACCTTTCAGTACTTCTGGGGGGCGTGGTTCCCTTCCTCTGCAAAGAGTCAACCAACCAGCTTATGCGTGAGCTCTTCAATCAACAATCATGCAAGCTCAGAGATACAAATTTAATTTCATATTAATTCCAACCAATTGGGGCTGAATGCAAGCTTAGTCAGTAGACTCATTAACAATTAATCTAAATTAAGAGAGAGATGAAAAAACTAGGGATCCAAAATGCAAGCTATAGTATCTCGAAGTTACTTGTCACGATAAAGGCAGTGACCATTTTCCATAAAAGTATCAATTATATTACATTAGATACAACATGCCCACAGAAATGCAGGGGTGAAGAAGGAGGGGCTCAGCAGAGAGTGGAGCATTGCTAACATTTCCTCAACTAGGCAAAATTTAGTGGAAATAGTAACTGCTGTCTCTTGAAACTGCAGGGTGGAGCATCTAACAGGAAACTGGAGCAGTGGCTGGAATATTTTTACAGCAGACAAAGACTGCCTTATATAATAAGTGTTACTGATAGACTCATTTCAGTAGTCTTTCAGGGTCCATATCTCAAGTTCCATGTTGGTTTGAGCATAGATTCCTGTCTTGCTGCCTGCCTAAGAGCAAGTAGCCACCAGGTGGCGCTGATGTTCTACGGTGAGAGGGGCTGTGTGTGAGATTATGCAGTGCCAATTGCCATACACATGCTTTTGCTTTACCCACCCTCCTGCCCCACCCAGATCTGTGTATAGTTCTTTGCATCTCTATAAACCACTGTGGTAACCGAAATAGATGGATCCATAGGTAATTAGATGGGGACTAAACAAATGCATTCTCACAGTTCAAACACATGAGGCCATTCACTTTAATGTGCACATATGTCCAAGACATCATGTAACCACAGCTGTTTAGCAGGTGACATTTTGGGCTCTGTTTTCTTCTAGAGTATCAGGTTTATGGCCACATTCTGTTTGTTGCCCCATCTATTTTATTTTATTTGCCCCCGTGTTTCTTTCCCACAGTTTCATTTGTCAATTTACAAATTCATCACTTTGAACTCATTCCCAGCTACTGGTGACCTCCAAGGCACATTTTTCAGTGCTAGGTCCCTTGGGAGGTTTCATAAACTTTTGCTTGCTCTTCTCTTTGTCCACCAAATATCTTCCCATGCTTCAAGCATGGTTCTTAGAAGCTGTATCTCAGAGGCATTGCTCTGAGGAGCCGACCTACTGTGAGGACAGCTCATTAAATACACGATGCTGACATTGTCCATGAAGACCATGGATAGCCTTGTGTCATACATGTAACACAACGATGGGGACAGGCAACCACAGGAAGCCTGCCTTAGCAGGGACATGGAGATGGAGCTGTGAACCAAAGGGCGGGCTCATGGGTTGATGCCTGGCTGCTTTCCCTTCCTTGCCAGGGTTCCTATTGGCAGTTGCTTTCTTTCTTGCCCCCTTTCTTGAACATCAGAATCATGTCATCCACACACAACATCTCAGACTCCTGAGATGCACTAGATCCTGGAGCCCATCTAGCTCAACCTTCTGCCTAGGGCTTGATCCCCTCCTACCCATTCCATGCTGCACAACTCTGGAGGAGTTTGCCCCAGTGGGCAGGGAGCCCAGGGATGCTTTTCCACTGTGAGATGGTTCTCTACAGGAATGTGAAAATACAGAATGGATTGCTTAGCTGCTCTTTCCTCCCCCTCCACTCCCGATGCCTTAAATATTAGAGTCTTTGTCAATTGATCTTTCTAACCAACCCATATTCTCATTTTCTTGAAAAACTCTGGTGAAAGGTGCGTTCTGACAGATTATTGCAAGCATACCCCAAGGAGCATTATCGAGCACTCACATTCCTGTCTGCTGCTTCTCAGGGCCTCACATTCGCAACTCTCCTAACCAACCTTTGGAAGCACTGAGTCTGTGTTCTTATTACTATTGTGAAGGCAAGGAAACTGGAACCTTCAGATGGAAATCCAGTATCTTCTAAGTCATACAGTGAGAATTTGGATCGCATTCACCAAATGTTGTTTTCACCGCTGACTTTGGCCCGGGATTCTGTCCTGGACACAGCCCATGCTCTCCCTGGCCTCACGCACTCCTCTCTTCTATATGGTTGTTTATCATGTCAGTAGATATAAACTCAGTCCCAGCCCCAGAGCAGAGCTATGTTCACTAAAGTATATAAGATCTGTCTTCCCGGTTTGACCTGATTTTACTTTCTTAGCATTTGTCTTAATCAGCATTTCTATTGCTATAATGAAACACTGACCAAAAAGCAAGTTGGGGAGGAAAGGGTTTATTTAGTTTACACTTTCACATTGCTGTTGAAGGAAGTCAGGACAGGAACTCAAGCAGGAACCTGGACGCAGGGACAGAAACAGAGGCTATGGGTGAGTGCTGCTTACTGGCTTGCTTCCCCTGCCTTGCTCAACCAGCTGTCTTATAGAACCCAGGCCCATCAGCCCAAGGATGCACCACCCACCATAGGCTGAGTCCTTCCCCATTGGCCACTAATTGAGAAAATGCCTTACAGCTGGATCTCATGGAAGCATTTCCTCAACTGACTCTCCTTCCTCTCTGATGACTCAAGCTTGTGTGGAGTTGACACACAAACCAGCCAGTTCAGCATTCAAACCTCAGATCAATGTTACTGTTCTCATAGTTCCACCATGACTTATTGCTATCAGTAAGTCCTTGCTGCTCACAAAAAAACTGAGCAGGGCTCCTCCCACCCTGCTCCCATTTCATCTGCATCCCAGTGCATAAAATTATTAGCTGGGCAGCCACTGAACCACACTCTCAGCCCTGCTCTTGACCCATGTGTCCTGGTGTGGGAGCTCTCGCTGAAAACGGTGTCTCTCATGTGGATCATCACCAGGTTTAAATCATGTGGCTGAGTATATATACCCAGAGTGGGGAAACACCTCCCCAGGCCCTTGGTCTTCCTGCAGATTTCCAAGTCAAACATAGTACTGTGTACCAGAAACACAGTATCTTTGTTTCTGAGAGTGCAAGGTATGGGTTGAGAAAAGCCAGAGTTGTCTGCTGCATGATGGATGGAAAGAGCGAATGTTTCTAACTGAGCAACAGTGTTTCCTTATAATCCTTTTATATTTCTTATATTCCTTACCTGTGCTGCTTGATTCAGGCACCTTTACAAAAAGAAAAACAGGCATAATAATAGTTTCAGAAGATAAATAGCAAAACTGGAAAACCACACAAAGGAGTGTCAACCGACCTACTGTAAGCCCTTGCCCTTGAGGCCGTGTCATAGGGGTCTTGGTGGGATCTTTTTTATTTAGTAAGTGAGGTGCCCAAAATTTCAACATAAACAGTTTGACCCTGGAACAGATCCTAAGAAATAAGACTAAGTTCTAAGAGCTGGCACGATTGAGTGACACGCTGCAGAGTCGTGGGGACAGAGGCTCTCAGAATGTCTGGGAGGACCAGCTTGGGTCCCTGCCACCCAGAGCTGGGAGCAGCTCCTTTGGGCATGTGTTTGGATGAGCTCCAGTTTCCAGCAAAATTCTATCCTGGAGCCAATTTACAGAACCAAGCAAATGTGGCACCAAAAGCCAGGTTAGTACCTACACCACACTCTCAGGTTTCCCTGGGAATGGCCAGAGCACATCTGGAAACAGTGTAAGGAAACGTGTCTGCTCCACTACCTTTTGTGTAATACCCTTCTGCTGAGCTGCACGAGAAGATGGCATCACTGTAAATGTCCCTGTCTGCATAGTGTTTTTTTTTCTTTTGGGTAATTGTTGCTATTTTTTTCAATGAGAATAATATTGAACAATCAGATTTCATTTAAGGAAAAAAAAAACTACCAAGGTCCCCTGAACAAGATGGTGTGCAGTCTTTGGTGTGTGTGTGGGTTTTTTTTTTTTTAACTTTAGCTGCTGCAGCACCTCCTCCTTGGGGGTCTCAGCTTCTGGCCTACTACATAGATTGTTCTAGCAGGTTCTCTAAAAACAAATATTGCCTTTCCTTCCTTCTGTCCTTCCTTCATTCCATCCATCCCTCCCTTCCCTCCCTCTTTCCTTCCTTACTTCTCTCCTTTCTTCCTTCCTTCCTTCTTTTCTCTCTCTTTCTTCCTCCCTTTCTTTCTTTTTACTGCTTGTGTACATGCATGCATGTGTGTGTGTGTGTGTGTGTGTGCACGTGTGTGTGAGTTCATGTGTGTCTGGAGACCAGAGGGTAGTATTGGCATCATTCTATACCTTCTACATCGAGGTAGCATCTCTTTTGGAACGCATGGCTTGCTGATTCAGCTACTCTGGCTAGCTTCAAGGGATCTCTTCTCTCTAGCTCCCCAGTCCTGAGGTTATAGACAGGCTGCCATGCTATGCTTTATATAGATGCTGGAGAGCCAAACTCTATTTTTCGTGTTTGTCCAGCAAGTGTTTTATCTGGTTAGTCATCTCTTCAGCTCCTGTGATGGGAGATTTCATTCTGTATATGTTTCTCATACTGGTTAATGAATAAAGCACTGTTGGACAATAGAAAACAAGATAGGCAGGACTAGGAGA